AAAATCGTCTCCAAATGAAAATTAGACTAGGGAAATCTAAAAGTGACCATATCTTACTTAAAGATATACAAGGCCATATTTAGTCCAAGTAAGAATCTCAACGTTACAAAGTTGTACTGTAGCTAATTGGTCGCTATTAATATGCATCTAGTTTCCATATATCCTGTAAAGAATTTGTATAGTTTAGTATGTTGGAAACTATACTACCCATCTGGCTATTTTGGGTCAAATCAAATGGTTGTTTTGTAACATTTATACGAATTAGAGGTCTTGTTTCAATCGCAAAACATCTGTTCTGCTTAAGAAAGTTTGCTTTTTGTCTCCTTTTAGTTCCTATATGTAAATTATACGCTCACACAGTAAACCAAATATGAAGAGAAGTTTTATTAGGATACTTGCAGGTGATTGGAGCCGTGGGGTTCATGAACCAGAGGCTGGAAGTCCCAAAGGACATTGACCCTCAGTGGATTTCCTTAATGGAAAGCTGCTGGCATAGGTACATAAAACATATTTGACATTCTGTAACTACCTTGTTAGAGGAAAATAGCCTCACTGATTCTTCGGTCCAAAATTGGTTGCATATAGGAGGGACCTAGATTTGGTTTTCATAAACAACTCCTAATATGCCATGCTCTGATTTTCTGCAGTAGCTGAACTAAACCTGATGCTTTGTGTCATGAATGAACATAGAAAATAACCACAAATGTAGAAATGTTGCAAATCCTTGAATTTGGAATTTGTAAGATTACTGTTTAGGAAACCTTGAGTAAACAAAAGCTCGATAAAACATATACTCAGCATTTCAATCCTTTAATTTCCATGGGTCCCAAACACAAATACTATTGAAGACTTCATTAACGAGTGTAAGACTTCAAGGTCTATATGCTTTTTTGAGTTGACAATTTTCCACAGATTCAGGGCCCATAAAAGGGTCAAGTTAGGTACAATTATTGTAAGTTTGTTGACAGATCTTGTATTAGTTTTCTTTCAACCGACACCACTGTTGGCAATTAGTTAGTGACTTAGTAATTTTTGTAGATTTGAACTTTGATCATCGAAATATACTGATTTGTTTTCACAGGTTTACCTAAACATTTAGCTAATAAAAGCTAGTAAACTCTTTCATAGTTTTGTATAGTAAATGTCGCAGCAGCTAATGTGGGTTAAGTTATTTCTGCAGCGAACCGCAGTGTAGACCATCGTTCCAAGAACTGATGGACAAACTAAGAGAGCTTCAAAGAAAGTACACTGTACAGTTTCAGGCAGCTCGTGCTGCATCAATAGACAACTCTTCTTTGAAGGGAAAATAAACCGAAAGAGCAGAAGATCTGAATATGCATTTCGCGGTTCAAGACGACAAAAGAAGAAGCTTATGGTACAAAAAAAAAAGAAGTTTGGTGGAAGTGCAATGAAGAGAAGCAGCTGAAGAACACTTTGATATGCTCTCTCATTGCGTGAGAGAGGCATTCTTTATATGGAGTTCAATTCGAAATCGTCATGTGCTTTCGATGCGAGCTACAGAGGTTATACATATGTAATTGTGCCTATCTATTTATGTAATTCATAGAGAGAGACAGATCCAGTTTTTAAGAATAGTCTGTACAGGTGACAAACGAGTAAAAAAACCCAAAGATTTGTAACCCTGATTTTTAGTAAATATTGTCACATTTATTTGGATCATACATTGTTATTGTTCGTGAGTTTGGAGTCGGGGTCTAGACGTAACTCAGTATAGAACCTTAAATCTGTGACAATCTTGACTACAGAGACATTTTTTTGTTCCTTGTTGGTGTAAGATTGGATAAGATGTGTCATGAGACATTATTGCTTAGAATCTTATTTCTCAGAATTATAGAAAACAAAACAAAAAAAAGCTATGAATCTTCACCGCTGTCGGTGTTAAAATGTGTGGGAACCAATCCGACCCGACCAATTACGCAAATGGCACGACTATTTTCAACTCCTTTAAATGGTTTTTATTTCAACGGATTGATTAAGAAAATAAAAAACTCTTGTAGACTTGAGGTGGTGTGACAACTAGCCCATACCAAAATAGAACAACCAACAAAGTACAAAGTTCTAACTTCTAAGATAGGTTCTAGCTAGACGAGTCAAGTGGTCGGCCTTATGAGTTGCTACACAAAAAATGAAGGATAAAGAAAATTAGGTGAAACCTCCTCTGAGGCGTGGAACTTCTTTAGCTTTGTTTAGAAATTAGGCCATTGTTCCGATCTCTCAATCATTCTTATGAGTTATGACATTTTGGCAATCTATTCCAAAGGCTTGTTGAGAAGTTTGTTGCAAGAGGCACTTCAAAGCCCGAATGAGTGCAAATATGATGAGAATCAGTATTTTACATCATTTGAAAAAAGTACAAATTACGCAACTGTCATTAATTAAAAAATTATGTCTTTTTTGTAGTTGAAAAAACACTCCAAGCTAGTTTGTCCTGTAGAAGACAAAATCCACAATGAATATACTCGTGACAATGTTAGTGTGTTATTTTCCTAAAACTCTCTAAGACTCTAACGTTCAAGTGAGTAAAAAACCATATTATTTGAAATAAGAAAATAGAAAGAAGAAAAAAGGTTGTCTCTTAATAATAATGATGAGTTACCTGACTTAAATACTCGTTAGAGACTAGAAAATTGTTCGGACCAGGCATCTAAAGATAGATGCCGAAAATAAAACCTTATATATCGAGTTGTTCGGACCATTGTAAGATTGGGCCAAATACTTCTAGGACTAGTCGGAAGAACCATAAAAAATAAAGCAAGTGTTTGGAGTTATATGGTTCTCCTAAACTAAGTTTTTTTTTTTTTTGTTTCTCCTAAACTAAGTTACATGTGGTGTTAACGGGTTTCCTATAAACCACGATATATATGACGCTAAGTAGACTCCACCCATAAGTGGGTAGGGGCATGGGTTTGTTCCTGAGAGGCTGAACAATGTTGGAAGAGAATCGGAGCCAATTTGTGATAATATTTGGAGCCGTTTTTTCTGCTCATGTTATTAAAGCTAAAAGTAATATTGAAAACTTTTTTTTGGGGCAAAAGAACTTTTATCCTGAAAAACTAAATATAAGTTTTCGTCCAATATTATAATTTCCTCAGATTAAATTCTGTTTTAGAATTACATAAAACTAATCCATAGATAAAATACATGACTATTAAATATTTTTCAAAGAGTAAAAAAAATTGAAGATCATGATATAATTTTTTTTCATATATCCTAAATGCTTCCAAACAACTTAAAATCATCCACATATCCATTTATCTCCTTCACAAGAAAGACAGCAAATTTGGCCAAAACTAAATAAAGAAAGAAAATACAAGATCTATCTATCTATAAGACAGTACAAAATCCAGCTCAGCTCCAATCGTGGAGGATCTCTAATCGGGACAAATGGATCCCACAGCCACAAAGGGACCATCCAAAGCAGGCATTGTCGGCCAGACACCCACTCGGGTTACATTAACATTTAAAATCAAAAATCATACAAATCTCTTCTTCTTTCACACGTAGAGTTGACATCACGACAGGAACCTCTCATGCAATCCCCAAAACACCCTTGTTCTAACCACGTTTATATCCATAATGCCATTGGCCCCTCTAGCCCTCGTCGTTCGTGGTCACTGATTGATCCAAGACAATCTCTCGTCACACTCATTTGTCGACAATACCGGACCGGAGCCGTGACGGGTTTTATATTTGTGTTCCCTCAACCACTGGTGCTAGTTTGGGAGTTTAAACGAACCGACTCTGACAAGTCATGGGACATTGTTGTTTGTATCATAAGTCTTATGCTTTTTAATTTAAGCCATATATATCTTTGGCTCTATCAAAGACAAACAATTTATATATATTTATTCTTTGTTCTGCTTCATTTCAACTCAAATTTCTCCTCATTTGGTAATAAAAACAAATATCAGCTTTCTTCTTTCTTCTACATCATCATCTTTCTCTTCGTAAATTTTTTTTTGGTTAATTGAGGAATTTTGGACCGAATTCCATACATCTTTTCATCGGAACGAATTCCTTCTCAAGAAAGTTTCGAACCATAGTTTGTAGAAGATAAGCTTTTTCGGAAGAAAACAACTACCAATAGAGCTATCTACACTTGGTCACTGTAAGTTATTGTTTTTATTCCTTAACATTCAAACAAAATGGTTTGTATTTTTATTGGATTTTTTGGTTCATGATGATATTAATCGATTGAAACATTGCACCAAATAGGAATGCTTTTGATCTTAAATCATCCAATAAATGTTATGTGTTGGGGAAGCTTAATTGAGAAAAGGGATAGATAGATAGATATATTTCTTTAAACCTACGACTTCTACTAAGATTGAGACCATGTATATTATTACTTTTGTATTTTAGTTTTTCAATATAGACATATGATAAAATTGGAAACCTCGATGACAAGAATCAATGGAAACGGAAAGGTTATATATTATTATATATACAAGTCAGATGTCTCATATTTTTTATTAAGATGGAACATAGAGATAAGATAACTCCACTTCAACTGTTAAAGTGATCCAACCATCAATATAGGACCTATTTCTCTAGACTATATACTTAATGTTAGGCTCCCTAACTTTTAGTCTTGACCAGAGTTCACATAAATATTATGCGGATGTATATTTGTTTCTTTATAAACTTCAAAAGAAAGGGTAAATGCAATCTGCATTATTTCAGTCAAAAGTAATTATTTGGATAGAGATATGATCAAGTTTAACATTTTGTCTTTCTTTGAAAAGTAATCTACTCTCAATGATTTGCTATGAGCATGCTTCCACTTTTCTCAAACAATACTAAGTATAGATGGGTAAATTCGACATTTTCCTCTATATTTTATATATTCAAATTAAAAAAATGTGAGAAAGACAATGAGACATTTGTTATTCATCCTTCACCTTTCCTTCGTGATGGATATATACATAAATTTCTAATTGCTTATAACATTTATAAATGCATATTTTTTCCCCTACTTTCTTCATAAAGTGTGTACACTCATTAAAGACAATACGAAAAAGAGGTTATTGTCGATTTCATTGTCGCACTTTGATATTATAACCCCTTTGATAAGATGAGGTTGAGGTGTATGGACTATATGGCTGCTTAAAATTCAATCTTTCTTTTAATGATTAACTATATTTTATTAGTTATCGCTAAAAAATAAAAAGTAATTACATGAAATGTCAAATGTATTTAAGAGGTAAGAACGATGACAAAAATGTAAATTAGGAAGAAAACGGAAATGGCAAATTAGTCCCTTCTATGACTTGGACGTAAACCGATGTGGACCATGCGATTTCATTATAGAACAATTATATTATTATATCAATTTACACTCTCGCTCATGTCATGTCATTTTCATAAATATACATGTTATATATCACCACTCAAATAAATATATATTACGTTTTTCTGTTTAGTTGGTTATATATTTACATATGGCATTGTATATTTATACATTGTTCACAAAGATATCTTATCATGAATAGCATTGCAGAAAATATCAGGTTGAATTTTGAAAATGAAGTCATAAAGAACAATAAATTCAGTGAGCCCAATAGATGTAAGAAACCTGTATTAAATACCAAATTCAACTTTATCAAATCATATATTTAACCTCACAGTACTCCACAATATAAATATATATCAAATAATCATGCATGTCTTTTTACAATTCTTCTAGGTATGCAAAAAACTACTTATCATGTCTATTAGCATGCAAAATTATTATTTTTCGTACGTAAAACCTAAAAAAACAATGATTATTTTTTGCAAAAAGTAGAGATTTGAATTTATGAGTTATCTTATAGTTATAGACTATAGTTCTTTGGCAAAATCATATCAATATCACTATATATAGCAGTATAAATATTGGGTATATATAAAATAATAAAAAAAAAAAAAATGTATCACACTATATATATATATATATATACATTAGTTATATATATATATACATTAGTTAGAAAAGTAATGTCTATATATATATATATATATATATACATTAGTTAGAAAAGTAAAAAAAAAAACAATAAATAGTGTGATTGTGTGAAGAATTTCTTCAAAAAAAAAAAAAAAAAGTGATTGTGTGAAGAAGAGTGAAAAAAATATGGAGAGGTAATGATGAGGAAGATAGAAGGTGGGAGATGAGCAGAAGCACGTGGGATTGGTGATTCTCTTTGCACGCTGGCGAATAGCTTAAGCACCATTTCTTTACCCCAAAATACAAATAAAACATCAGCAAAATTAATAATAATATTTTGTATCGACAAAATCCCTACCATGAATATTATAGAATAAAAAATAAAAATAAAAACTTACATAAAACAAGAAAAACAAAGAAAAGTTGTAAAGTAGATCGCTCTGCTTTCTTTTGTTTTCTCTCTTTAATCTTTGAATGATTGGTGAAGAGTGTTTTCTGGGAACTTGCCTTAAGCTATAGCTAGAAACATACACAAAGATGTATCTATCTCAAAGCTCTTGATGTGAAGAGTGTTTGTTCTGTTTTTCTAATCCAAGTGAGCTTTTTTCTCTTCTTCTTTTTCTGGTTTTTGCATGGGAATTGAAGAACATACTTTGTTATGGTGTGTGAGTTTTGTTTGGTTATCTTTTCTGATTGATGGAACTTTGGGTGGGTTGTGATGTGTAATGTATGTTGTGATAGGATTATCTAAATTTCTATCTTCTTTATCTTTTTTTCTTTTATTGCATTGATTTTGATTCTTTTTGTTTGTATGTCCATATCAGATTGGGTATAAGGAATTTGATTGAATGGACATGAACTTTTGTTCTGGTGGCCTCAGTTTTTCTGGGTTTCTTTTTTTCTTTTTTTTTTCTCCATATATCTAACTAAATCACTCACCAGTCACCACAATGACAAATTCTCTTTAGAAAAAAAATAAAATCTGACTTTTTTCTCCTAAGAAAAAAAAACTCTCAGACAACATTTTGATCTGTTTTTGTCTCAACTTGCAAACAGGAGATTTGTCTGGAACTGTTTTTCAAGGTTTGGTGTCTTAGAAGAAAGAAACACTTTTGGAGCATTATGCGTAAGAGTTTCTGAAGATTTCAAGCTAATTACTATCATTAATCAGCTATGAAGTTTATGAAACTTGGATCTCGTCCTGACACTTTCTACACTTCAGAAGATTTAAGGTAAAATGGTAATTAAAAGTAGTTAAATCTTTAGCCATAAATGTTGAGTAAAAAGCTAAATATTGTTTGCTTGTTGCAGATGTGTTTCTTCTGAAGTTTCCAGTGATTTTACTATTGAAGTGTCAGGAAGTAAATATCTTCTTCACAAGGTACCATTTCCTGTTCTTGTTCTTGGAGATGATTTTTGTTCTTTCCGGTTTAGAGTTTATTTGAATGGTCTTCTTCTTGTTCTGCAGTTTCCACTGCTCTCCAAATGCTTGAGGCTTCAGAGAATGTGCTCTGAATCTCCTGAATCCATTATCCAACTTCCTGAATTTCCAGGAGGAGTGGAGGCCTTTGAGCTCTGTGCCAAATTCTGCTACGGAATAACGATAACTATCAGCGCGTATAACATCGTAGCAGCGAGATGTGCAGCAGAGTATCTTCAGATGTCAGAGGAGGTTGAGAAAGGTAACTTGGTGTACAAGCTTGAAGTCTTCTTTAATTCTTGCATCCTTAATGGATGGAGAGACTCCATAGTCACTCTTCAGACCACGAAAGCGTTTCCTTTGTGGTCTGAAGATCTTGCCATCACCAGTAGGTGCATTGAGGCCATAGCCTCTAAGGTTTTGTCTCATCCATCCAAAGTGTCTCTCTCACATAGTCATTCTAGGAGGGTTAGGGATGATGACATGTCTTCTAACAGAGCCGCTGCTTCGAGCAGAGGATGGTGGGCTGAAGATATTGCGGAGTTGGGGATAGATCTTTATTGGAGGACTATGATTGCTATTAAATCCGGTGGCAAAGTACCGACGAGTCTTATTGGTGATGCCCTTAGAGTTTACGCTTCTAAATGGCTTCCTACTTTACAAAGAAACCGGAAAGTAGTCAAAAAGAAAGAGGATTCTGACTCGGATTCGGATACTGATACTTCATCGAAGCATAGATTGTTGTTGGAATCCATTATAAGCTTGCTTCCAGCTGAGAAAGGCGCGGTTTCTTGCAGTTTCTTGCTTAAAATCTTGAAAGCAGCCAATATCTTAAACGCATCAACGTCATCCAAAATGGAATTAGCGAGAAGGGTAGCTCTTCAGCTAGAAGAAGCAACGGTCAGCGATTTGTTAATACCTCCAATGTCCTACAAATCCGAAATGTTATACGATGTGGACATTGTCGCGACTATCTTGGAACAGTTTATGGTCCAAGGACAGACTAGTCCACCGACAAGCCCTTTAAGAGGTAAAAAGGGAATGATGGATAGAAGAAGAAGATCTCGTTCGGCCGAGAATATAGATCTTGAGTTCCAAGAAAGTAGGAGATCATCCTCTGCTTCTCATAGCTCAAAGCTTAAGGTAGCTAAGCTTGTGGATGGATATCTTCAACAGATTGCTAGAGACGTGAATTTACCGCTCTCAAAGTTTGTTACTTTGGCTGAGAGTGTCCCTGAATTTTCAAGACTTGATCATGATGATCTCTACAGAGCCATTGACATATATCTCAAGGTTCAATTCTCATCCTTGTATCATAATACTAAACGAATATTAATCTTTGCGACTTATCTAATTTATGTTTTGACATTGTTGTTGTAGGCTCATAAGAATTTGAATAAATCAGAAAGAAAGAGAGTTTGCAGAGTATTGGACTGCAAGAAACTATCAATGGAAGCGTGTATGCACGCGGCACAGAACGAGATGCTTCCGCTGAGAGTAGTGGTCCAAGTCCTCTTCTATGAGCAAGCACGAGCCGCTGCAGCTACGAACAACGGTGAAGGAAAAATGACTGAACTACCAAGCAACATCAAAGCACTCTTAGCCGCACACAACATCGACCCTTCTAATCCAAATGCAGCCGCTTACAGCACGACAACAAGTATCGCAGCACCGGAAGATCAATGGAGCGTCTCGGGTCTCAAATCACCTAAATCAAAGCTATCAGGGACACTAAGAAGCAAGCTAGCTGAAGATGAAGAGGTAGATGAGAGGTTCATGAACGGAGACGGAGGAAGAACTCCGTCTCGGTTTAAGGCTTTTTGTGCAATCCCTGGCCGTCCCAAGAAGATGTTTAGCAAGTTCTTGTCCATCAACAGAAACTCAAGTGACAAAAACTGTTAAACAAAATTGTTATTTAGGTATCTTAGAGTAAAAGAAAGAAAAATGTTTAAACCTATTTACTCTTTGTATAACTTCATTTAATCTCCAAGTTGATGATAATAATATTGTTAAGAATCATCTTTAGATTCATGAGACACGTGTTGAGGATCCAGAAGGTCAAAGAAAATGACCCTGAGGATTTGTTTTTGTTAGAACTTTGATTATTCTAAAAATTTGTAAAGAGTAAAAGTCAAATCTTCTTCTCTGTCTCTGTTGGCTGCTACTGGTTTTGATTAGTATATGATCCTAATTTATTCCTTGCTATGATTGGTCGTAATCGATATACCCAAAAAAAAAAAATCATGTTCATTAATCACTAGGAAAGATTTTTACGTATCTATATATGTTACATTTTTTTTATAAATTTGCATTTAATTTGTAGACAGGATATCTTAACAAACTTGGATTTGATATGCAATTAAGTTTACATATCATGATTCCTTTCTATAATAATGTCATCTATCACATGGTCTCTTTCTCACTAAACAAGTTTTCAAGTTTTTTCTACTAACTTCCAATTAGTTTAAACAACAATTCCTCACATCAAATCATTCTTGTATAAACAAATTTAATTTATAAATCTGACCTGCTCTGTCCCTATTTCACCTTATTGAAACTTGACTTTTCTTGAAAAAAGTTTACTAAGTTCCAACAAATCGTCAAAATAAAACAAATTCATTGGACTTACGGTTATCTTTGGTAAAAACGTAGATATTAGGTTCAACACTTCTGAATATGAGAAAATATTAGTCTATTTTAGCATTTGATATAAATAATTAATTTACTAAACAAGAAGAGATAATCAGCCTAAATTTATAAATTCGACTCCATTAGATGGTGTGTTTACATTCCATAAATAAGTGAAATAATAGCACCGCCCAAAAATTAAAGAGACAACATGGGCTCTTCGTGAGAAAACTATTTCAACTGTTTTTTTTAACTTTTTTTACCAACGAGAATTATCTTTATATGCATTGCCTCTTCCACATTTTATAACACATCCATCATTGTTTCCCTCAATCAAAAGATTATTTCTTTATCACTTTTTAGAAAAAATAATTTACAAGCATTTATAAAGTTGTTTGCGCTTTGTAGTCTTTTGAAAGATGGAGTCATGACTCATGAGTACTTTGATTGATTTGCCAATCTAGCACCAAGCCATGTCTATTTTGTAAATGTCTCTCATGAATTTGATAATGTGCGATCTGCCCTTTGAGATGACTTAAGAGACCAAGATATAGTCAATAACCTTTTAATATATAGTTTGGGACCATGTTGAATAAAGATTTTGATCTAATTAGATCTCTAAAATATATTTTTGACAACGATCTCTAAGATATTTTCAAAGGTCACCTTTCATATTAATCGTATATATACAATATCACTCTACTCATTAATCCTCGGATAAGCACTATTTCTATTCAAGAGTAAGGTAACTAGCTAGTTTCTCCTGTGAACATGTTTTTAATTTATATATATATAAAATCGGACCGTGTTTTCATATGAATCATTGTAATGTCATGAATTGATTAAAGCGTACAATGCATATTGTTGGAAAATAAAAACCTACTCCTCCATATAATGATTAAACTACAAGTTACAACAAACAATTGTAATGCCATGGATTCATCATAAATCTATTTAGCGCGCGGCACTAGGGGAATCCGCTGGCTTGGGTGGAGAATCCAATAGAGATGCAGCTTCGATACTCTTGGTACGTTGCAACGAAAGAGACCGGTGAATCCTACACCTGAAAGAACCAGGGTGAGTGGTTGGTGAGCAAAGGCAGTTGGTCTTGGTCATGCTTGTCTGACGGGATAGCCCACGGGAACCCACTTCCGCCGCAGAATTGCCATCACCAAGAATTTCAATCTTAAAGCTTCCTTTGTCGTTTGTCATTTGTTGCACCTTCTCCATGTCCTGGTTTCATTGAAAAGCCATGACCATTATTAAGAATTGAAGTATTAGAAAGCATTTACCAAGGCGTTTCACTTAAACAACAGTTTCCTTAATACGTACAGTGTAATTATTACTAACCATGAACTGAAAAAGAGCTACTAGGCACTTCTTAAAAATGAACATGTGATACATATTAGTTTTATGTTCTCTATTGCACTAAGATATCTTCTTTATTAAGAAAATAGAATTGGATTTTCATTTTTTAGAAAATTTCACTTTGTTATAGTACTTTGCTTCTAAACAATGAGATCTCGTTTGCGAGAACGAAAGAAACGAAAAAAAAATCGTTTGAGCTTTCTCTTGTTTTTACAAAGAAAAATGTTTCGACATTTTTTGTAGTATAGTTCTTAATCCTACCAATTGGTACAAACTAAAGACGAACCTCTAAAACATGACTAAAACACGAATATATGATCGAAATTAGAATCACGACATAGTGTAAAAATATATATTTATATGGTATAGAAGTGTTCTGATGGACGTTATGAATGCAATGTTGAACCTAGCAAGAATGGTGGCTACATCTCAAAATAACAACCAGATCATTAAAAGGTTAAAGAGTAATGGACATACCTCTGTGTGGATGATCAAAGTTGAAGCTGAAGCGATCCAAAAGAGGTTGATACACTTTTCTAAACCGCTCTTCTTGCGAATTTATATTATCCTCTACCTTTTTTTTTTTTTTGGGATCATCACGGGAATGATGATGCACTACATCAAAAGCCAACTGTATCCTTTATTTTTCCATAATGTTTCAACCATTCTTATCCCAAAAGCCCATCATTGAGTGGTCCCGTTCCTTTATTGTGATTTTAATTTGCAAAAATGTTGGTTCTAGTGGGAATTTAGTAATTTTAATTTTCTAGTGGTAATTGAATTGTGATTTATATAAAAGTCGTTGTAGCTGTTTGATAAGTCTTAGACATATTGAATTGGAAGTTAGCACCTCCTATAGGGCCAAAAACGTGGACAAGAACCGAGAAAACCAAAAAGACATAACGTGTAAGGTTTAATGCCAAAAAAAGAAACACACGAGTGTCTAATGCGTTTGAATAACGATTAACGACTGATTAAAGGAAACGTTTCAAAAGGATATCCACTAGAATCTTCTAATTGACCAACGACTTGAGTCCATCCACATGGCAGCCTTTTGGTCTCTCAACGTTCAAAAACCGACTCTTTCTCCAGTTTCCAGTTACAATCTTATTAAACAAAAGGTCAAATCTAAAGATATACGTAAGAGATTCGTCACAAATGATTCAACGTTACCGACACGTAACCATAACTCACCGAACACCGTCCTTCACGTTTGTTTATAAAACGAGATATAGATAAAGATAGAAAGAGTCGTCTCTTTGTACAAAATCTGAAAAATCACAAAACCCTTATAGTTTATATTTAGAGTTGAGACTACTTCGGCGTTTCCGACCAACCTAACTTCGGTTCTACTTCACACAAAACTCGTGTCCTCCTCTCTTGTTATAAAGGGTCTCTTTTGTTTCAGTTTGTCTTTGGTCTTGTGTTTGTGTAAAAATGGAGAACAAGACAGATAATGGAAACGAGGATGGTCCAAAAATACATAGCCAAGTTGAGAAGATAAAGAAAGAGTTTGAGAAGATAAGGCAACCATCTCTGCAACAACCGGAGATGAGGAGGGTTCTTAGCGAGATCAAGAGGCGTCAACGTTCACGTTCTCCTCTTGGTTTAGGGGAGAGATCTATTTCCGTTGGGAATTGATCCATGTTTGACTTTGTAATCAAGAGAGATAGATTATAAAAAAAGAAGTAGAGGTCATGTTTTTACTAATAGTTACCAGGTTTTGTTGTATATATTTTGCTATGTAAATACTCTTTGGTTTGAATAGTAAAAAGCTTTTTCACTTCTCTTTCGATCTACCTTATTATATATGGCTTTGGTTTCCAAAAATCCGTAGTTTAACCAGTTGAACCTAAAGTCAGATTCGAAGATATGTATGAACTTCGACCCGCAACTTCTTTGATATCAAATATCGAAAAGTCGATTTGAAGACACCAACCATGGTGATGTATGAATCTCGATTTACATGACATGTATTTGAGAGAGATATTGTAACTACAACTGAATAAAAATCCATGAGACAAAAAAGTTCGCAATAGAAGAATATTGGTCGGTAACAAAGCAAGAGGAGCTTATAAGTTTTCTTGTGTTGTTAAAGATGAACCAATTTGAAGCATTAGAGGATAAACTGGACTAAACTCTTTGTCCCCTCTCGATCTGATCTTCACTGCATAATCATCCAAAGTCGCTTTTATCCCTTTCCAGATCTGATCCTCTCTTTGGTTATCAAGCCACAGTGAGTACTGCTTAGGACTTAGTCTGTTCTTCTGCATTGGTGACTCCAACTCGTCCGGGCCTCTCGTGTAGAGATGATGGAGGACGATGCTCGGTGGTAGATCCTGGATGAGAGGAGATGATCCCATTTGAGATGTTTCCAGGAAAATCAATGGCCTAAATGCTCTAAGAGCTCTGTACGGTGCTCCGAGTTGTTCCACGGGAAACAGATTTTGTCCCACTGCAAGTTCAAGCTCGGCCATGTCTTTGGCCATCCTGAGTTTTCCCCATTCTGAAAGCGGTCGCACAAGGGACGCATGTCTGATGTAGAAGATCAAAACCCTCGAAGCCATTTGTCTTGTGAGTCTAGTGCAGATCGATTCTGTCCCTGCAGTGTTAGCGGTTGCTGCGGAAGGCAACAGTCTAGATAGGAACTCACTGCGGAAGTGAAGAATCGATCTCTGCAACTCCTCCATGTATGAGGAAGCGTTGTTGTCCATAGCAGCATCATCAACACCAAAGTTTTGATCATGGATTTGAAGAACGCATGACTCGAGCTTGTCTCGCATAGCTTTAAACAAAGGTGTAACTGGCTCACATGCCGCATCATAGATTGCAGCCAGATAAGGAGACAATACATCAGCAGCAATACTGGGAAGGTCCGCTACCATGGATGAGATATGTGTGTGGATTCCTTGCAAATGCTGACATAATGTGAAGTTCCTGATCTGTGTTGAAGTCGCAGGACCTGATATCTGCCGCGTCTCAGGGCCTGTAGAAATCTGCCATATAAGTGTAGCTGTGTTACATTTCAAACATAAAAGCATACGTAGCAGTCTAACTTCTTTACACTGCTTAACCCCAATTATGTCAGCTAGTTAACACGTATATATTTGCATAGTGGAGGTAGATGTAGCTCTAGTTCTCTTCATTTCTGTCTGGAGGAAATTATAATTGCCGCACGAATTATTACTTTGTACTCATTCTACCCTATACATCTGTATGCAACTTTAAGAATTCCTATATAATACACATTGTATACAAGCAGAAATTGATACCATAATCTAGGGAGTTAATGGAATCCATACTCAGGGAGCTATCACAAATAACAAGAGGACAATGGGTACCAATAACCTGAGAAGAAAAACAAAAGAGAAAAGAGGTTTATCATACCTGGCACTCAGCTCGTTGAGCTAGGTTACTAAGGGCCTTGCCTATCTCACGCAAAACTAGAAGAGTCAAACGAGCATCTGGATGAACAGCCTCAATCTCATCTTGAATGTGTGATAATACCTGTGAGATCTGCTCTTTCGAAGGTAAACTCCCACGGCTCGACATAGGGAATATCGAGTTCACAAGGTCTGACAAGCGGCCAAAGCATAGGGATAAGAAAGCAGTTTGGAATATTGCAATGCATGCAACCATTTGTTCTTTCCTTTCTAAATTAATGGCAGGTAACACTCCTTTCACATCTGTGTCGCGAGAAATCCTTTCAAGAAGATTTTCTATCATAGTAACAAGCTTTGGATATCCCATGGTGAATATTTCTTTTACAAAACTCGAAGCTGTATATGCAGACTTCATTTGGCTAGTAAACGCCTTCACAAGCGCATCCCAGACTCTGTCGGTTAACACAGAATCGCCTTCCTGTGCATATAAACACTTCATGTAAGTAATAAAACCAATTAAAAAGTTGGAAACTAAACTATCAACAGCCCTGACACCACAGAAACCCATTCCAAAACTTCCTTTTGATGCAAAAACATGGAAGGATCATCTACTTAAGCTGATCAAACATCATCGAGCTCGCTAAAAGTGACAAGAATCTTGTCATCCACATCCAAGACTACTCTTACCCTCTCAATTATCTAATTCAGCTTACTCCTCAGGACATACACAATATCTTTAACTAACGAATAAACTCTAGGAGCCTTTAATTCCAGTAAAATTCCGCACCTTGATGACTTCGTCAAGAAGAAGGACATGCGTAAATGGATCCCTCTTCTTCGACAGTACACGCTGCAAATGCCACACAGCAACTACAAGTGAATACAACTGTTCCATACAACTCGCCATCCTCTGCCACAACGCCTCCCTAACTTTAGCACCGCCACCAATGTGCGGTGCTCCACTAGACCTAATCCCACCAGGCCCGAAGCCACCACCTGAGCCAGAAGAAATAGCTTTCATATCCATAGCAACACTCACACTCTTCACAGCCATTCCCTTATACTTATTCACCAATTGATCCACCGTAGGTTTCAACTCTCCAAGGTTATAGAAAACTTGCAACCCAGTCCCAACCTCCGCTTGATTCAACCCTTCCATGCCTCTCTCCAACACTTTCATAGCCTCAGACCTCAATTTCTCACCAATCTCAGTAACAAACTTGATTTCTTCGTCGATCACATCAATGCCGAAGAGATCGTACTCTTTACACATTGTTAAGATCTCGAAATGGAGCTGTGCAGCTTTGGTGAGATCGATCTTATCTGGATCAGGAGAATCCGTTAGATCTCGAAGCTTCTTAGAGAGACGAAGCGTACGAACCGAGTGAGAGAGTAACTCAGTAGCGGAGTGGAGATTTGATAGCTGAACAGATTTGGATCGGATCGATTTGATTGGTTCAGAGAGATCGGATCTGACACGGCGAATTGAAGATTGTAGTGAAGAGACGGATGATCGGAGAGAAGAGAGAGAGACATCGGCGTGTGAGAGAGAAGAGAGCTGAGCGAGCAATTCAGGGTGACGAGAGATGACGTCATTACGGAGCTGTGAATCGAGGAGGCGGATAGCTTGGTGGAGACGTTCGGCGGTGGAGGCCGGAGATCCAGAGGCGAGAGCGGCGGAGGAGAATGATGCGGAGGAGAAGGAAGGAGAGAGGAAAGGGGAGAGAATTGGATCGGTGGCGAAAGAATCGAGCGGCGAAGAGGAGGAAGATGACGGTGTTTGTGGTGGTGGTGCGGCGGAGGAGAGTGAAGAAGGAGGAGGGTTTTTGAAGGTAGAGAGACGTTGAAGAGATGGAGATGATGAAGGAGACGAAGGAGGTAATGCCATTTTTCAATTTCTTCTCTACAGGTTTTGAATTTTTGCAATGGCGATTTTAGCAGATCAATGCGATACTCATTTTTCAAAGTTATTCTCTGAAACACAAAAAAACTCTGATGAAGGAAAGTAAAAATACGATAGTGAACCGGTCTACTTAAATTTCTGTCTATGAATTTTGTTGGTTATCGACGAACCGGAATTATTATTTCTGGGATAGTCAAGTGAATTGATGTAGATGGGCCTAGGCCCGAATCCGGATCCAACGATAACAAAGTCAAAGTGTTTCCTTTGTCTTTTGAGGGAAGAAAGGAAAAAGCTCGTTAGGTTGTGTTTTAGAGGAGATGTTTATCTCTATTTTAAAACACCTCTATTCTATAAATGATTTTGCTCAAATGTACCCCTTTCACATAGAAGAAAAAATAAAAAAATCTTAGTTTTTACTTTATAAATAGAATAATCCAATACAAATCTTTGTTTTTTCTTCTATTTTAGAGAAAACTCTATTTTAGAAGGATACATTAGAATAAAATATACTCTGAAATAGAGGTATTCTAATATAGAGAAAAATAGAAATGGACATTAGAAATGGTCTTAGGAGAAAGTTGGGGGAATCATATCGAAGTGACAATGACGAAAGTTAGAGCTTTGAGCCATGTGGTACCTTACTTTGGGTGGCTACAAACGAGGAAGTCAATGGGTCCTTTTTTTTTTTTGTCAACAGCTTAAATAAAATAGATGCTCAAAAGGAAGTCAATGGGTCCTGCTTGGAAGAAATCTTGCGTGTGCTGATCATATATTCTTTGTTTTTTTTACAGCAAAATAAATTCATTCATTTAAGATAGAAACGGGCGGTTTTCTACAGGAGCTGATCATATATTCTTATTCTTGATGTTTCAAAAATTTATTACTTGTGTTCAACCTTTGTATTGACATTATACGATTGAGAATTAAACTATTCATAAATCAAAGATTATAAGAAAAATGTTAACATGTCATCCCCACGACTAAAGTTTTAATATAATAAGATTTGGAAGGAAAACAATATTTAGTTGAGTTATGGAAAACAAGCTTCAAATTTTGGAAAACACTGCAAGATCAAACATGAAGAAGCAAAATCAGCACCCTTCATCATAAATTCAAAAAAAATTGGCAAACAAAAATTGTAGATGGAAGGTGAAATAGTGATAGAGGAAGACCTAGCTAATGGACTGTATAAAATATTTACATGTTTGAGCAGCTTTTCATCCTCTTCCAGTTTTATCTTCTCCTGTCATAATATATAACAAGATCGATGTTTGAGAATGACAATATTTATCGGTAATCTATTCTCTTTGGTTCTTCAGAATGAGCACGGCGATCCCTTAGATGAGATTTCAGTAATTACAACTCAGCGAAACTCAAACCGTCGACATCCTTAGCACTCATTCGCCTGGGAATATAAGGGAAAACTAATATGAACATCAGTGGAAACAAGAAACCAGACAAGTTAATGAGCTATATATATACCTGGTCAAAATCCGTAATCTCTTGACTTCGCTCTCCAAAGACTAATTGTAAGAACAATGATGTGAGAAAAAACCAGAGGTTCATGACTTTTTTTTTTTTTTTTTTTTTGAGGTTCATGACTTTGAAAAGATTATATGATATCAGTACTGATTCATGTTCTTGTTTATGTGGAGATTGTTCATCATATCTAGAAAGAGATCACAAAGCGCTATCAAAATTATAATGTTAACCTAAAAGGAAAAATATATATTTATTTATTTCACTATCAAATTTTCATATATAAATTAAGTTATTAAGTAAAAATTTGATGAAAAATAAATATTTGAGTCAATTTAGTGTATGAATATATTTCTTAATCTATTTAGTGTATCAATATATTTCTTAAATTTCAACCAAATATAGAAACTCTTAATCGATTTTGGTATGCCCCTGCTTCTGTTATTGGTTCATAACTTTGATGAGTCCAATTATTTTCATAGTCGCATATAATTGTAAAAGTATTGTACGAACGGATCATTTTATCCCACAATTATTGAGATGCTAAGATAAATTTTTGTATCAACATTAAAATAAACATGAATCAAAATCATATATTTTGAGCTTTTGACAACGAGGACACACATTGACATTATTAAAAAAAAAAAAAATCTTGTCTACTTGATAAAACTTTTGGGAATAAAAAAGTGAGGTAGAAGAAAGGCATCAAATGCTTTATTATTGGGATTCGCACTGTTTACTAAATTCCACGATCTGCCAACCATCTATTTAATTTATTTACTTTTTTCTACTAATTTTGTAGAAATTTCCAAACAATAATAAATAAAACAAAACCAAATGAATATGTTTCTTTAGTATAATCTCTCCCTTCAATTAGGAAGAGAATCTATTTTAAAATTCCCCATTCTTTCTTTACAGTCAAAATCTTTTTTTCCCATTTCACATAAAATATTCCTTTTGTCTTTGGAAAATAATTAATCTTAGATTTCAATTTAAGTTTATCATCTTTAAATATCATTTTTCCATGATTATGGTGAAAAGTCATAAAGTAAATGTATTAATAATTTTTTCCATTATTTGTCTAAAAATCCTCAATTGGTTTTAGAGCTGACAAGGCTGCTCTGTCTAATATACAGAGGAGAAGACAGAAAAACAAAAGCAATTCCACAAACTCAAAAAAAAAGATCAAATTTTTGGTTTCTTCTTGAGAAATTAAACTTGGGTTTGTGTTGTGAAGGTGAACAAGTTTCAAGCTTTTTCCATGGCGTAAGATGATTCACCTTCTCAAAGTTTGTCTCTTTTCTCATATCTGATCAAAAGAGGGTTTTGGGTTTGTTTCTGATTGTTAAAGTTTTAATCTTTTTAGTTGAAATTTGGGTTTAGATGGTGTGAGTGGTTTAGGGTTTGATTATGTGGATGGCTACTCAATCAAATTCTGGGTTCGAGTCTTTGAATTCTATGATGAGTCGTCACGCTATTAATTTCCAATCTAACACCTCCTCGGAGATGATTCCAATGAGTCCGTACTTGGGGATGAGTATGATCAATGTTGCTTCTCCTGGTTTAGTTCAAACCGGGAATTCTTCGAATGCTTCTGATTCGGTTTCTGGCCTCATGCTTGATACTTCCATGGTTAGTGAATGGTCAAATGAAGAACAATACATATTGGATGATGGTCTTGAAAAGTGAGTCTTTTTGTTCTGTGATAATGAGGTTGAGATAGTTTTTGTTCTGTGGAATTTTGATATGATTGATTCTGTTTTTGTAGATATAAGGATATACCAAGTATCGAGAGGTATATTCAAATTGGAAACAGTTTACCTGATAAAAGTGTTCGAGATATTGCTTTGCGGTGTATGTGGATGACGGTAAGTCTGACGGTTTTTGTAGCTTTGTTGTGACCATTTGGCAGTCATATGTTTTGCTTTAGGATGGAAATTTGGTCTTATTGTTGCCTGTGTTGTATCAATATTGAGTTCTTGAGATGAGATTAGGAAGCATAACAGTCTTTGAGTTTTGAGCTAAATCTTCTCTTCTCTTATCTACTGAATCATTTCTTACTTATACTGAATTTTTTTTTGCACAGAGAAAGAGAAGAAAATCAGAAGAATTAAATTGTGGGAGAAGAACAAGTTCTAGCAAGGTATATTGGCGATTCGTGTCATTTGTTCAATTTTGATGAGTGATACTTTTGAACAACAATTGAAAACGACTTCTTTTTAATTTAGATTGAAAGATGCTGCTAGGATTGAGATGGAATATCATTTATATCTTTTGATAAATTTAGGTTTTGGTACTAAAAGATCTATATTTCTTCAGGACAAGCAGGTGGAATCGTCTTCTAAGTCAAGCATTCCCTCTGTTATGCCTCATAACATGGCTTCGTATCCTTTCTCAGTGCCCTCTACAAGCACCAGTAAACAAATTACATCTGAAGGTTAACATCTATCTTTATCTGAGAGACTTCCATCCGAATTTGCCAACTCTAGGTGTTTTCTTTTGGTTGACATGCACACATTCATATCATATTTTGCTTTCAAAAGGAGGCAATAGGTTCTTATTACTTGGTGTATGTATTATGGTTCAAATGTCGTTTTGGTATATATCTGGTCTTCTCTTGTTAGATAAATAAGATTATATAGGGGCTTAGTGTATTACAGCTAGACTTTTAGCCTCCTGGGAGGGTGACTAAGATAACTGTGTCTCTAAAGTAGTTTCGTTTTCGAAGAATTGGTGAATTTCCCTAACTTCATTGTCCTTCTCTAGAGTGCATTCTTGAGAGTATTTATGTCATACATCTAGTAAAGGAGTATAATGACTATTGTATGATTTATACTTTATATGGTGAAATTCTATATAAGTCCGCTCTCTGATCCTGTTACCTTGTAAAGATGATCCCTTTAAGCTCTCTTTCATATGAACTTTTGTTGAAGTCACAACAATCTTTAGTCTTGTCTTTTCTTACTGATTCTTTCGTTGTTCTGTCTCAGATTTAAGTGGCCATGCAATAAATCTCTTAGAACAGAATGTACGAGCTTTTAGTCAAATTAGAGCTAATCTCTCCTCATTTAAGGTAAGTTCTAGATTATCTGTTTAAAGGAATGCAAATGTGTTCTTGCTAAAACCGCTCCGTCCTGATAATTGCAAACAGGTAGAGGATAATGTAGATCTCTTTCGTCAGGCAAGGAACAACCTTATCACCATCCAAAATGAGTAAGTTGATACTTTTTAACATTTTGTATAACTTTTGTGGAGCTTGGAGAACTGATGTCTTAATTTGGCAGCATGAATAATATGCCTGGCTTGATGAACCAGATGCCACCATTGCCGGTCACAATCAATGATGATCTCTCGGTGAGTAATTCTACTTTAGTATTAATAGGCTGCTCACTTTTGCATTAACAGCCCATTGTTTTAGATATCAAAATGTCCACATCACCCATTTGCTTGTTTACTTTTGACACTACCGTAGTTCAAACCCAGATCTCTGGTTCAAAGGCTCAAAATATAGAATTATTGTGCTTCTAACTATCTGAGTATCTTAAGACCAGTTTTTCAATGTTTTGGTTTGAAGAAATGTCCTCTAAGAGCAAATACAGCATAAGAATAATATCTTCCCAATAATTAGAGTAGGTTTAGTCATTTTTCAGTGGTTAGGATCGTGTACCGGTGTTGTTAGTTTTTTACCTGACCTCTTTGGCGATATCAATAACTTTGGTTTCCTCAATTTGTACCAGGTGATGCCATTCAACACGATGCAAAGTGGCGGCTTCCATACGAAGCAGAAGACTTGAATCATCTGGTTTCCCTTAATTACCTGTAATTAATTATTCTAAAGAAGCTGGAGGAGGAAAAAAAAGCTCATCACATGTTGTGAAGTTTGTAGAAATGTGATTCTTTCGTAACACCAAGGATCTTTATTGCCGTGCCCCGAATGTTGAAACAGGACATAATCGAGGGGTCTTGGTCCAGGCTCCAAACTAAGAAAACCATATTAACAAGTTCTATTAGATCAACTTTTAGTTCAATTAATGTCTTGGAGAATTTCTAAGCGAAGTGTATAAAAAGATTCTATTGAAGATAGAGAAGAGCGTGTTGAGGTTTGCATCTGTAATCTTTTGGTGTGTTATTTTGGTAACATGTTTCCTTAGCACTAATCAACCTTTATTTTTCATAAGCGAACATCGAATGAGGTAAAACAATCCGAAACCTTTAATTTTGTATATACGAAACACAAATGTTAGAAACAAGAACAAGAAAAATGGCAAAGAATCCATGATGACTTCAGTTAATTGAAAGATAATGGGACAAGCAGAGAGACAGGAAACTCTACATCATCCAATTTAATCGGTTTTGAGAAGATGAAACATGATCTCCTCTAGATGGACCATCAAAGTTCAAGCTTCTTATGGTTCGGTTGTTGGTGCTGCTATTTTGTGGGTATGTAATCAAAGAGGAGTCTATGACTGGAGAAGTTTGGTAAAAGGAAGGATGAGAGAGGTTGTCGCTGGAATCGAGTAACAAGAATGGAGAAGTAGAGGCAGTGGAAGCCAAGGCTGTTGCTCCGACCGGAAGTGGATGGTTATGTGTTCCTTCGTAGGTTGTTATCAGTATTGACATGTCTTCTAAACACCTTTGCACCTTCACAATACAACAACTCATAATTAACTCTATGTACATTGCAAAATCTCATAATTAACTATATACATATATATAGTTTCATTTCACTCAAATGTAGTTATGACATGCTATGAATTCTACATTGGACAAAAGTAATATATAAAGTACATAGACGAATCCACTCATTACCAATTGGTTTTGAGTTGAAAATCTATAAAATACTACATTGTCAATAACTTGATCTAAAATGGTCCCCCAACATAAAACTATAGAATATATCTTTGAGACCCCCGGACTTTGAGGATATGTGCAATTGCACTTTTCACACATTGTACCTGTTTCCTAACGGGACATCCTGGAGCCACGGTGCATCGATAATATGCTCGTGGACATGGATTCCCTTTCGCGGTTTTCTGACCGTACTTCCTCCATTGGCATCCATCATTCATCTACACACACACACACACATATCTTTTCTTATTAAAAAATTATGTTGCAATCTCCAAATTGAGTCCAAGATATGATATAAAGAAACTCACTGTTGCGGTCTCACATCTCGCCCTCACAGACACCCTGGCCTTTCTATTCCCTTGAGAAGATGAAATGATACGTGGCGCGTTTGTATCTAAGCTGCTACTATTGTATCTTTGGTTATGATGAGACTGAACAGCTTCTTTGCTCTCTTCTTGTTTCTGTTTTTTCTGTAGAGAAAGTGAAAGCCCTATTTCTCTTTCCATGGATGAAGATCTCTCACCTCCTCTTTTCCGAGCCTTACTTGTTATATCCACACATCGGTTGCCTTGTACTCCAAGGAACATTTCAAGATCCTAGGTTAAAAACACCAATCAAGTTTCATGTTAATTATCACCACTATGTAACATGTATGATTATGATTATGAAGACACCAGATTCTCTCACCATCTTCTTGGTTTTATCGATAACCGGGAATTTCATCTCCAGATGACGATAATCTTCAAGAGTCTGCTCGACAAGCTTCCTCAACCTAGTATTCTCTTCTTTCACACTTTCCATCTGGATCTGTAGCTGCAAGAGCTGATCTCCATCCATAGATGTTAACATATATTCACACATAATTTTTTTTGATGTATATATGTATATAGTAGTTACCTCTTCACGTTCGTTTTCTTCTTCTCGGGTTCTTGAACCTAAACAAGAATCATCATCATCGTCTTCTTTCACCATTTGTTCATCTTCATCACCACTAGCATCATGTTCTTCGTCTTCTTTATTCTCACGACTATGTTTTGATCCTTCTATCTCTTTCTTTTTCTCCTCGGCCTCGAGCTTAAGAGAAAGATCGATGCCCATTAATGGAGATGCAAATTGAACCTCTATTTTTGTCCTTTAGCTTTGGATTTTGAAGTGCTAAAGTCAAATCCCATTTTCTGATCAGAATACCGTTTACTATTTGTATTATTCACTCTAGTACGCATCTAAAGCTAGCTTTGACTTTGTTTAAATAATCAGTTTTATCTTTAAGAAGAAACTAATCCATGTTACTTAATAAAGAGTTTAGTTTTGGTCTTTGAAGCAATTAAACCGGAGTTACTATGGAATCATGACTTTGGTTACCAGCCTAGTAGTCATAAAAAAGTGTATACATATATTCCTTCCCTTCTCTTATATAGTTTGTTTATTAAGTTGACAATAAGATAGAGATCCAGTTTCTTTAACAATTTTATAGCAGTTTTTTAGTTTTGTAATTCCAATTTATGGGCATTAGGTTATGCAAAATTTCCCATCACATGGATGGTACCATGTGAAATACAGAAGACCATCGACGTGTGGATATTTTTAAAACTTGTCACTGATGATGTGTTTATAACTAGATGAATTGATCTCTTTGAATAAGAACATAGTTTGGTAGAGTTATAAAGATTGAATACGAATAAAGAAAAAAAACGGTGAGATCAAACACACCATAAACTTTTTTATTATCTCGAAACATAGGTCTTTAATGGGATATGCAGTCTATATATTTTGAATTTTCTTATTGAAGTTGTTTTGAAATTTTCAATTGTGAGACTATAAATATTTATGGGAAAGAAATAGAAAGAATTAGGAAAATTAAAGAAGTAGGAAAATTAAATGCGAATTTACGAGCTTAAATATTTTTAACGAGTTTTTTATGTGATTATCGTCAAAATATATTATGAGTTTATGACGGCTTGTTTATAATGTTGATATTGGATGGTGACTAAATTGTACATCTGCCATTTGGCGATAGATAGAACATATATTGTTCAACATAAATAAAAAATAATTAGATTAGGTGTAAAATAAGAAAACTAGTTGATATCATTTTGTAACTCAAAATATTTTTAACTGACAAATATGCTAAGTCTAACTGAAATTGGTTGTAGACAACAGTAGTGACTCTCGACTAACTTGCAGTACCTATAGATTATGTTTTGTTAACTCATGTTACATCCAAACTTTCTTACAATATAAGAAGCTTATGTAACAAACATTTTTCTAAGTTAGCTATAACACTATGTTACATATTCAACTTGGTAAAAGGAAGTTGAGTAATATAACGATTTAAATCTGGTTACAAGATTATATAATTCATATCTATTTTGGTATGCATGCAAATCGCCATAGTGTTGTGATTTTTCTCACTTTGTTTGATTCACTGTTGTAATATCATGTTATATAATTTGATTTTTAAACTTAATTGATTTTACAATCAAACCATGGTAGAGAATTTAGATTGTATCGTAAAATATAGGTTGTATTGTTTAGTTTGGTTGAACAATCTCACAAAATTTATAGATCTCAACCATTCATCTTCAACAGAAGGATAACTAATTTTATTTATCCTACTAGTAAGTAGTAATAGGCTACTAGCTAACCTAAAATATTCATTCTCTGATTTCGATGAACATAGAGATTATGTTGATAGAATATGTGTGATATGTGAAGCCGGGCTTGTTGCATTTTTATAAACGTTATATGAACTATTTAATCAATAAACTATACATGTATACAAAAATAAGAAAGCCATGTTTCTTTTTTTTTTTAATTTACTTAGTGCATTTAAGAAGTAGTCTATATGTGACATCTTTATGCATTTTCATTATCACTAACGTAAAATTCAAATTAGCAATTAATAATTCGTATCAAAAAAACCAGAACAAGGCATCCAAATCGTTTTCCTAAGAAACTCCATACGGCTGAAAAAATTCTTCTCGGTTATCTTTTTGGGTCGGAGGATCAGAGCTATTTACATACGGATCTAGTTGTCATTAAAGGCTGTTTGGAAAGTAGTGCTCTAATCAACACAGATGGTCTCATTATCGGGGTTATGTGTTCCGGCTTAGTACTAGAACATCTCAGACCGATGAGCGAGAAGAGTACTAGAAAACTAGGTTGGTTCAGATTAGCGATCTCCGAATATCTAGGTTATTTGTTTTTTTTTTTTTTTTGTATTTGAACCAATTCTAAATTATGAGATTTTACATCTTAATTTGGTTTGGTACTATATAGTAAATAGTTTAAAATTTCTACTTTTTCCAATACAAAAATTTTAATTTCTAATTTTAATCAAGTTTTTCGAGTTGGAGTTTATGTTTAGGATTTTAATATATTTTCGTAGCTATTTAAAGTTTATATCCACGTCTTCTAATATTTAAGAAAGAAAAAAGAAAGATACTATAGCCTTGGGATCGGATCTAAAAATAGTCAACTAGAAGACTTTCAATTTTTCTTATTTTCATACTTTCTCATTGTCATTTAAACTTCTTTTCTTTCTTACCAAAAACTTAGGCTTTGTTTTTTTTTATTCCATAGATTTGTTGGAACGAGTAGAACAAGTTAGATAGCCATTTCTCTATAGCCGAATCACTCTCGTGACTTTATTATATCTCTTACATATAATATTAGAGCACCAAAAAGTTGATCGACTTTAGATTAACATTTCAACAACAAATTAAGCTTATGGACTTTGGATTAACATTTCAACGTAACAATATGATGATCCATCTGTATTTTATAAACGGGAAAGCATGTGTCAAAAGAAATATGCATGTGTTTTTTACTTATCTCACCAAAAATGAACTTTCGTTGATTTAAGGTATAGAAAAATATAGCATATAGTATAGTGGAGAATTAAAATTTTGGCAGAGGAGGCGTGGAGCAAGATAGCAAGCGGCGCCGCAGCCATATCACCCGTTCGAATTTTATAATTACAATCAAGAAAAGGTCAAATGCATTTCCCATTCATTGTCCCTTTGTATGGCTTTGTGTGTCACTAAGTCAACCTTTAATTTAAATCTTATATTGATCTTTACACTATACCGTTTTCTCCCTTATTGCTGCATTCTAAAAATGCAATTTATCAATACCTTAACCTCAAAATTAGAGAGTGGTAGATATTAGAGATACTCATTTATCTAAATAGAGATTTGATAGACAAATATCAACTCTTTGATATCTTTGATATTTATGTACAATATCTTCATTCTCATTTTTTCATGAACTTACAATTCAAAATCAATATATTATGGTAAGTTTTTTTTTCTTCAAACTTTAGATGTGAGATTTTAATACCTTCATTCGAGATAGTTTCTCTTGCTAGCCAACCTCGAACCGAAACCCGCTTTAAGGCCGACGATAAATCTTACTTGTGTCATTTTGATGTCATGTTGAATTTTGATCGATCTTCAACTCAAAAACCAAAGTAGATTAGCACATGTCTCTTTGTGTCCCTTTTAAGTTCTATTTTTTTTGGTTAATATAGAAGGAAAAAACTAACAAGGATTGAAAAATATCACCTTGAGATGAAGAATCTTCTGAAATCAAAACCTTAAATATTTTTCTTAGTTTCTAACTTCATACATGGGATACTAACACTTATGCATATAGGATCACGTAGTATATAGAGATGTTGCTCTGGCTATTAAATTTTAAACTTAACATATGTTTGTTTCGTGGTCAGGCCCAATGGTGAATCATAATAGGGCCTTTAAAAGGCCTTTTAAAACTAAAGGCACGCGCGTCAGTCTTACGCACTCTAAAGACGCGTGGAGGTTTTGCCTCAATTACACGTGACGTGAAGAAAGAGAAACTCCGATTCCAGAGCTTGGTGGAGCAGTGGAGACGCTTCCACGCGAATCTCGCAGCCCCACTCGTCTTCCTCGTCCCTCTTTTCCTTCGTTACCTCTCTCGCTCTCGCTCTCGCTCACTCGATTCAAGCCTCTTCGTCTTCTTACGCTGTGTTTCGAAACCCTAATTTTTCAATCCCTAAAGGTAAAGTCTTTATTACGTATTCGTGTTCTTTGTCTTCATTTCTACTCTTTTTCGTCTAATTAGCGATCTGGGTTGTTGTTTTTTTTTGCGGATTTTGGTGGGTTCGTGTTAGATTATTGAAATTTTGGTTTCGAACTAAAGGTGGTCGCTGGAAAAAGTTGAATTTTGTGTAGCTATGACTTTTCCGATTTCGGGTTTGGTTCATGGGTCGTTGAAAATTTGTTGAATTGTATAATAGAACTTGTCAGGATCCATCTGGGTATTTCTTAATTTATGATTTCTGGGGAAAAAGATTCATCGGGTAATCGAGAACATTTCATTTTTTTAATATTTATGCTAACATTTTTATATAAATTTCTCTGGATCTGAGATGTGTCAAAGGTCTTTGTTCCATGTGGATTAGATTAGATTCTAAGGTTTCTCCTTTGTTTGTTTAATAATTGATGTACTGTCATGTCGCGTGAGTTATTCTGTGAAGCATGTTCCTTTTGGTTGTCTTGTAACATGTCTGCACATCTTTTGTTATTTTTTTATTTTATTCTCTGTATTTGATTTGATGCGAGAGACTTTGTCTCACCAGTTATTCTTGGTTCTCCATCTGTTTGCTTTCCACTTGTGGATTTGGTTTAGTCATTGTCTTAGTTATCTTGTGAGTTTGAATCACCTTTCTAAGCTTCCAAGGTAGTGAGGTACATTGCTTCGTTTGTTTGATCTCTTTTTGTTTTGGTATGAGTTCCTTTATTTGATCTAAGTTTCATAGATTAGCATGGTTTGTTTATCATGCAATTCCAGTGATGTATCTTCAAGCCTTCCCTCTTCGTTTTGAGTGGATATTTTCAACATGTATGAATTCATGTTCGAACTTTTAATTCCGAGCATGCGAACTATTGAGTGGATATTACTGCCTGTTTTTCATTGTGATTCTGAAATCTTTATGGTTTTCTGTGCTATGAGGTTGTGAAGTATCTGTTATAGATGTATATGTACTATGTAGAAGCATCATCATGAAATAATTCCTAAATCAGTGTGTGGGATGTTACTACTATGCATGTTGTATGCTGAATGGTGAACTAGAAAAGTATCTGCAGTTTCCATGAAGAGATATCTACCTACTTGTATTGTTACAAAGTTTTATGTGGAGTTCTTTTGCTAATCTGATGAAGATTTGTACAGGTGTGTTTTTGAGATTATGGCCAAAGCTAGGAGGGCAGGACGCAGGGTTCCTTCGCGACGCTTCAGGGCAAGAGCAAAACCGTACAAATTTCCATCTTCTAACCGTCTTGTGGCAAGGAACATGTTTGCAGAAGATTGTTCAAAATGTCTAGAAAAGAGGGACTGGGAGAATGTTATATGTTCGGTTTGCATGGAGTGTCCACACAATGTTGTTCTTCTCCTCTGCTCATCTCATGACAAGGGATGTCGTCCTTACATGTGTGGAACCAGTTTCCGATATTCCAATTGCTTAGATCAGTACAAGAAAGCGTCAGCTAAGCTAAAGTCATCGAGCCATCAACAGATCAATAAGTCTGAGCTTGGAAATCTCACATGCCCACTTTGTAGAGGCCAGGTGAAAGGTTGGACAATCGTACAGCCTGCTCGTGACTTTTTGAATCTTAAGAAGAGGATCTGTATGCAGGAGAACTGTGTTTTTACTGGAACCTTCAAAGAGCTGAGGAAACACATGAAAGTGGACCACCCTAGTGCGAAGCCGCGTGAAGTGGATCCTGATGTGGAGCAGAATTGGAGAAGGCTTGAGACTGAGCATGAACGGGATGATGTTATGAGCACGATTAGGTCGACAATGCCTGGTACAGTGGTGTTTGGTGATTACGTAATTGAAAGGACCAATGCCAACGGTTCAAATTTAGACGAGGGTGATGATGGTAGGATCGATGCTGCACTTGGTAGGAATCTTCTGAATGTTTACCTTCTGTTACATGCTTTTAGGGCATCAGAGAATCAGACAAGGCGCTCTGATTCAGATTCGAATGACTCGACAACAATCAACCGCGGAACAAGTGAGCTGAATTTCTCTGAAGAAGAGGATGAAGAGGAGGGGGAGAGGCATAGTAACAGTAACTCTTTGGCAAGTCGAATGAGGCGACAAGGACGCGTTCTGCTGGGACGTTCAGGTAGGAGACGTAGAGATAGAGAAGCTAACCAGAACGCAGGTCCTCCTCCTAGATGAGAGAGATCACACGAATTCAAAACAAAACCGACCCTTTATCTGATTCTGGGTTTCAGGTAAGCTTTATGATATGGTTAGGTACAAAATGTAGTTTCTACAAGTTTAAAACAAACAAAAAAAAGGCTTTTGGCTTTTCTGCTTTTACCATTGGAGAATTTGACTCAAATTTGTTTTCATGTGCTCTTGATGGTCAGAGAAGCAGTCTTGCAATCTCATGTTTTTTTACTGTATTCTAAGGTAACTTTCTGAGTATGAAAAATTCACAAAATATCTATCCTTGTGAATAAGCACGATCAGTGATGATGACCAATGAAGTCTGTTCACGAATTATGAATTCGTGTTTCCTTCTGTTTATAAGTTCAATGAAATATGTTTCCTTTTGTTTGTTGATTTTGAGACTTACCTTATATCGTTGTGAAAGCTTCTAAGACCACCAACCTTTACCTTGCGATAAACATGTGTTTGGGTTCTCTTAATTACATGATCTTGTTTTGGTGTTAGTGTATGATTTAAGTTTAAGCATTGGTTTTGCTTAAGTTTTGGAAAATATACCCCACACATAATCGATTTTAATGAACTTTGGTTAGTTTGGTTTTGTTGCACAAAATTCGAGTTGGATTCAGATTTTGTTCAAGTAATTATTTTTGTTTTTGTGTATACGGTTCAAGCACGTTTTGAAATTTCTATACCGTTTTGAGTTATACTCCCTCCGTTTCGTTTTAGTTGTCGTTTAAGGTTTTCTCACACATATTAAGAAAAGCATTAAATTTTCTGTTTTACTCTTTATTAATATATTTTATAAAAAAATTCATTGGCCGAAAGGCCTGAAACATTAAAACAGTAGGATTAAAACTGGAATTTTCACAAAACATTTGCATCGAAAACCTAAAACGACAACTATTATGAAACAAAATTTTAACTCTAAAACGACAAGTAAAACGAAACCGAGGGAGTAGTAACTTATAACAAAATTTGGTTTGGTTTTTTCGGATTGATAAAAATATTTATTCCGTTTGGTTTTGATTTTGGTGGAAATGTCAATAAACAAAATAGTGGGGGCCTTTTACTCTTACGATGCCTTCCTTCTATCTTACACTCTTTTTAACTCGTCGCTATCGAGTTTTGTCGTGTCCCCATTTTTTGGGCAAATTACAGAATCAATAAATGGAGGAAGATGACTGTGATTGTGAACAAAAAATTAAAGAGATTTGGGTTTGTAATTGGACAAAAAGTTGCATTCACCAAAACAGCCAAAAAACAATTAAAAAAAAAAAGATAAAACAAATGGTCTATGGAAATTTGATGGATATTCAAACAAATTTTAATTTTATTTCGTTTAGTACAATCAATTCAATATCATTTGGAATCTAAAGATTTCAGCCGAAAGCGTTATCGAGAAGAGAGACAAAAAAAAAGAGAAAAAACGTTTTGGCTTTTTAAAAGTTTGAAGTAGAATAAAGTTTTACTTTTATAGATGTCGGTATCTTTAGGAAAATTTAGCATTATTGCCTTTCCTCTTTTTTTTTTTCCCTTTGTTATGCCATAATCTTAAGAGTTATCGTTTAATCGTATAAGAAGTTAATTTGATATTATGTTTTTCTTTCACGTGCATACGTTTCTCTTGGTATAGGAATATTTGCAATGCAGATATGCATGAGAAAATGATGATAACTGCTTTTGTACTTTTATTATGTTGCATCATGTGACATCTAAACGAACCAATCCATGAGATCGACACCGCTGAAAATAATATTATATTCAATTACATTATGATACCAAAAAAGTAAGCTGATAATAGACCACACTTTACTTTGAAAATGGATAACGTAAATGGTTTATTTTTAATTTTATTAAAGAACGTAAATAGTTTGTTTACTATAAGGGTGTGTTTAATTTTCAGTTCGAATGTTAAACACAAATAAATACGCAAAGATATGACTCTTTTTTATTAACATATATGAAACGATTAGTAGTTTAGTACTAAAACTTTTCATTTTTTGCCAATATAGCTACCATTTTTTATGTCAAACACAACTATATACTATATCAAAAACCTTTGATATAAAAAATTGAAACTATTTGAAGGAGGGAAAAGAAAACTGGCTAGGCCCAATGACAATGCTATAAATAATTCTGTAACAAAAAATGAAGTTAATATAAAAGTAGTAAATTAAAAGTTTGTGTCGTCACGATGTGACATGACCGATAAAGAAGGAGAAGAGGCAGAAGAAGGAAATCATGGAAGTGAGTGAAGGTGAGAGAGACTGATGCCTGACTCCTAACCATTTCAAACTTTGGCACTGAAATTCATGGCGTTTATCTTTTTTTTTTTCTTTTTAGTTTTTTCATTTTTTTCGTGTAAATGAAACGACACCCACTTCTTCTATTCTGATAACGACTTTTCTTCTCTTCATATTCATGGAGTATTTCTCACATTGATTTCACTTTTGCATGAATGGGTGAGCATTTTTTAGTTTGTTGTTCCTCCCATTTTATAGCACATGGTCCTTTTGATGTTAAAAGAGTGTATTTCTACAATTTCATTGGTTACATCGTTTGTTTCAAGATTTGTCCATTTTGGGTAAATGGTGGGGACTATTAGTAGAAACGGATTACGTACATCTAAAACAATTTAGATCATATTGTTCAACTCAATATTATCTAAGTTAAAAAAAAAACCATATTAGTTTGGGGTTTGAGTTCTCATAAAAATATTAATGGCTTCCCATTAATATATATAAATTTGAAACATCATGATGGTTTTTTGAATTTTCTGAAAAATACGTAAGAAGCAAAAAAGAACGAGGGCTTGTCGGACACTAGAATGACAGTAACAAACTATTCGAATTAATAATCTGTGTAACTCAATCAAATATAAATTTTAGTTTTTGGTTTTGATATACATTAACTTAATTAAGTCATTAACTACATCAATTTAACATGCTGATATAGGTTTTCATGCTACGAAAACTTAGTATTTATAAAGTTAATTATATATATTCATACAACTAATTTTGCATATGTACTAGATATTTCTTTCACACTATACACTCTTTTTTTTTAGTTTAACTGACAAAGAAAATGGTGCATAGTGTAAAACAAATATCTAGTATGCAAAACAAATATATATATCTAGTACGATATATTATAAAAATATTAGGCTATGAAACAATCAATTTAAAAATTGTAGAAAGAAAAAGGAAGTAAAGGGATTGGCTTTAGTTGAATCTGAACTAACCACACATGCATGTGTCAAGCAGTAATGCTTCATCAGGAGCAGTCCTTTTCCTTCTGTATTACACTCCGACATACATGCACACTTGAACTTGAAGACGCTTCTTTCTTCTTATTTAATACTATAATCCTTTTTTTGTTGACAATAATTTATTTTTTAGTTATGAACACATACAGTCACACACAAACTATCCATTGTCATAATATTCTTTCACCAACCATATATAGCCATTACAACATTCAACTCATACTTCTTATGTATTAGGTGTATATTGCTAATTAGTCAGTGAAAAAAGAATTAATGATAATTAAAACGTAATATTTTTTTGTCAATATGTTACATGTATTATATAAGATTCAAATCATACAGTAACCATACCAATACAAACCACTAAATTGATTACAGATTTTGTTGAGCTTAATTATGATTATAAGCCTTTTGTTAGAAAACGACGTTTACAATGTATTTCATATAGTACATTTAGATACCATAGATAGTGAGGCATAATTATAACCTTGGAGGAAATTATTTGTTAGAGTATCAAGAGACCCACATGGCAACCATGCAAGCGTTTAATTTGTAATTATGACTCGCACCAAATACAAATATCTCGTCTTTAGCCATGTATCTTCTAATTTCTTATATATATACTTTTAAAGTTCTTGATCCTAATAATGATTGATTGTAAGATACTTGAATTGAACTTATACTATTATGAATTATGATCATGCGATTTTAGATGATACAATAAGTGTTTCTAAAATAAAATGGTACTATAAGTTCGGGAAAATGAGTTGAGATATAAAAAATATCTAAAGTTTTCTAAAATATTATTTGATATGAATAAAGGTTGCTTTTCGTTGTTACTTTTAGATCTGTTTAATCAGTTTTCTAAAGTTTTATAAAGATTGTTATAGGAGACACGGAGATTAATCTTCCGCAACGGAGAAGATTATTAAGTTGATAGACAAGAACCTTCAAAAGCGATTGAGCATAATCAAGAGAGGAGGTAATGATAAATATGCTGGTGGAATTTAAATGTGGTTTGCGTCGAGACAACATTCTAGATAAAAATTTTTGTAGATTTTGAAGAAAAATTTGCATTTTTATGTAATTTTTTTAAAATATAATTTGATTAATCTATAAAGATTTGATTAATCTATTTTATTTGTTTTAGAAAAATGAGAAAACTACAGTTTAAAATGAAAGTGCATAGAAACAAAATTTTGTTTTGTTTAGTTGAGAAAACTATTTACGAGTATATATATATATGATGTGTTTGAAAAACACATCAAATTATAAGGGTCAAAAGATATCTCATGAGATTTTGTCTTTACGTAAAAAGATATGATTTCTTGTTTGGTCACATTGAGACCAAAAACCCACAAAATCCAGATAAAATCTACAATGAATCAAATTAAATTTTAGTATTTTACCATTCAATTCATTAGACGATTTCAAACTACAGTCTACATATGGAGCGAATTGTTTCTAGTTTCTACCTGAGAATTTGACTCACGATTTGACCTAATTATTATCCCTTGCATTTAATGCAAATAATTGACTGACAAGAAAGGAAAAAAATGCAAAAAATTGTGGAAATTGGTAATACAATATATTTAATTGACAAAGTTCAACTATAATATCCAAAACACCCAAAACCAAACTGAAAGTAAGATTAGTCTTTTTTTTTTTTGGTCACCGAAAGTAAGATTAGTTTACCTCTATGAAAACCAACATTTTTGTAACTAACTAATAAACTATGATAGGATTATATAACCTGTTTATTACATTAACCAAGTTACAATATCCAGCAACCAACAGACCCAACACTATCATACAACAAAACTCTTCTCTTCTTTGGTTTTTGTTTGAGAAACAAAAAAAATCAAACCCCCAGTGAATATCCAACCCTGGTTACCCACAAACCAAGAATGTATTAAAAAAACCAATGAATATAAAAAGATGATCTTCAATTCCAATCAAAGAAACAAAAAAAGAAAAGAGGAAGAATATTTTTTTTTCTTTTGTATGTGTTCTCTCTTCAAGGTCTATGAGACTATGACGATGCTCTATCACTCGCCTTTTCTCCTTCGGTAGTCGCCGAAGACATGTAGCTCACGGCGAGAGAAGTGCTCTCATCAGTACAATGCAGCTGAGGAGGAGGAGGAACCAAAGCAGCAGGAGCTTGAAAATGTTGCTTGCAGTTGTGGCAAGTGATTTGCATCATCGTTGCACTAATCCTTCGACTTGCTTCTTCTCTAAAAAGCTGAGCTTTGTGAAGCTCGGCTCTCGCATGTTGCCTTATTCTCTTGGCTTCAGCAAACTCCAATTCCGCGATTTCGATCTGCCTCTTCGTTTCTCTTCTCGCCTCCTCTCTTTCTAGACTCGTCTCTCCCTTCTCGTAGCTCTTCCTCTCAACTTCTGACATTGTAGTTTGATCCATTGTCCCTATAGACAGACTAAGGCTGGTCTCATCAGCACTATGCCTCGATGGAAGTAGCTGAAGCTCGATGCTTCCATTAGTCCCGCACGAGGCAACAAAAGGATAGAGCAAAGCGGATGGTTGTTGATCGGACGGTGGGGATTGTCTTCTTTGTAAAGGATGTCCAGGCAATATAGGACCAATAGAAAGGTCCGCGTTTTCGTTGTTTTCGGCGATTGAAGCGGTTTGTGTAACGTTTGTAGTATGTTGTTGCTGCTCATGTAAACGGTGGTTGGAGGGTTGGGATCGGCGTACGGTGCAATTGTCTTGGTGCTCTATGAAACTCTCCACTCTGACAAACAAGAGTGTATTATATAAGTTAAAACTAAAATGGAAAGCACAAAGGAATATTTGTATCTCGTGACAGATAATATAAATAATTAAGTTAGTGGAGTTAGGTATATATCTTTTGGATTATATATATGATGCAAGACTTCGAGGTTTGGTATGGTATATACTTAACAAAGTTTGATAATGAAATCTGTTTTGGGGTCAACGTAAGTAATCAAAACATAGTTCCTAATAATTAAATTAATTATAGTATTTTCAGACAACAGTCCAAACAAAACCTCATCAGGTTCCATTAGTAACATTGTTTCAAGATCTGTGTACGTTATCTAAAAATCAAAACATGTACACGCTATACTAGAAAAAACATTCTTTGATTTACTTTAAGGATTCCGATAAATATATAATAAAAATAATAATTAAAAAGCTAGGGTTTGTTAGTAAGAATGGAACCTGGAAAAAACTCGGCCGCAGTCACAGGAGTGGCCGCGAGTGCCACAGGTTTTGAGATGAGCTTTGTAATCAGATTGAACGGCGTAGCCTTTTGAGCATCGCTCGCAGATCCATTGCTTATGGTTACTATGTTTCCGTCGAAAGTGTTTCTTGATTCCCACGAGATCTCCGAGCGCGTGACAAGGGTTGTGGTGAAGACATGTCGGCTCCGGACAGACGTAGACTCTCTTTCTTACTTCCTCGTTGGTCTCTCTTTTTAGAAGCTTCCATGGAACTTTATGTCGTCTTCTATGCATCTGTAGATTCTGGTCCCTTTGAAACCCTTGGTTACAGATCTCACATACGTACCGATCCGATTCTAGTAACGTTCTTGGAGATAAAGATACTACCTCCGCCTCCGGATCTGCCACCGCCAAAAAAATATGAATATCCATTTAGTAAAATCCATTTAGTAAAATCAAAATCTTTAACGTAACCGAATTATTTGATTACTTTCCGAATAGAAAATCTAACAACTAATTCTTGATAAGGGAATTGTTAAATACCCGGTGTCCCGGCGGGTCTCCGTTTCCGCTTCTGAGTCACGGTGGCTCCATTACCGTCGGGAAGAAGATCAGAGGAAGATGAAGATGGAGGAGGGTTGCGATGATGGTTGTTGATGTTCTTGGTGTTATTGCTTCTCTCGTAGTCTATCATCGGATGAGGTTTTTAATCTCACTTTTTGTTTGTTATCTCAAGACAGTGTGGTTTATAGTGAGAGAGGTACTGTGACTAAATGAAAAATAAGAACAAAATTGAGGAATCTTTTGTTTTTCATGTAGAGAAAGAAGGAGAGATTGTTGTTTTTTATGTTTCCTTATTTATTTGGTAGAGAGTACTCATCTTTACTAATAGAAGAAGAAAGTAAGATGAGTTTAAGAGAGAGAAACAAAGGGCTTTGTATTCTGAAATCATCTTTTTTTCTCACATAAAGGGAAAAGCTTTTCTATTCCCTTTTACTATCCATCTTTTTATAATTTTCTTGGAAAAGAGAAAATAAATGAAACTTTCAACTTTTTGTTAATTGTTTCATTGACCTCTCACCTTAGATGGAGAAATGTATTGTATGGTCTTTGGTGCTTCAATCTTCTTCAGAGTAGTTATGAACCTCTCTCTTTCTCTCTCTCTTCTCTATCTGTACACTGTTTGTTTACAAACACAAAACATATATATGGAGAGAGATGTTTATACATATAAAGAGAGTGGGACAAGGAGCTTGGAGCCCACATTAGCATCAGGACAAGAAACAAAAAAACATCCCCTTTCACTACAAAACAATTACAAGTCATTATTATTTCATATCATACAATATTCGATCAGAGTGAGTAAGTTTTGTTTTTCAAAGATAAATAAAGAAAGGATAGGTGAAAATATAAACGGAATCTTGAAACTTTGATGTTAAAGAGTACATGTTTTTTAATGGTGACAAATGAATATATGTGTAGCTTTTAGGGCTGGTGTAAATAAAAAGGGAAGGGACATGAGAATATTTGTTTTGAAAATAAGACACATGCATATACCCAATTCATGTTTCCGTATATATACAAATATACAATGTGGTGCCATCATCTCATGACTTTTTATATAAGAAATAAGTTTTAATCAAATATGAATACTGTGCCCACAAGTGAGACGAATCAGAAAAATTTGCAATATATATAGTTTTTCTTACAAGAAAAACAAAAAACAAACACAAAACCCTAGAGTCAGATCTGGTTTTCGAGTGTCAGCTGAGACCAATTCTACTAACATCTCAAACAAAAGAAAAAAAATATAGATCTGGAATATGTTCGAAAGAATTTTCTTTATAAAAAACATGTCTATAAAGTGTAAGTGTGTGTGTGTTGTGCGTATAACATATACTTAAAGTCCACCACCATCTCATTAAAGGGCATTTGTCTAACCAAGTGGAACTGTAAGAAAATTGAAGTAAATACAAAATTAATAAAAAAAATTATATATTTTTCATTTAAAAATAAAAAGAGAAACAAAAAGAAGATGATACTTTATTAATAGGAAGAGAAAGGAGAGGGTTGAGTTGGAAAGAATGGGTGGGAGGATGGGGGAGATGGATTCTCTCACATGCAATGCTTTTTTTTTTTTTGTAAAGTTGGATATATCAATCCTTCACAATCACATTCTCATTAAGATATTAGTAGTATATAATAATGATCACCTCTTTCTTTCATTTAAGGAATATATGCACTAAATAACCCTATATTTTGCAAAACTAATGGATAAAAAATCATAAATAAGTTCAATTATTTATTATTCATGTTTTTAGAAATCACATGGATTTTACGTGTATATTTCCAAAATAACACGCTATTTTACTAGATATATACTACGTTAGGCTTGACTACTATGTCAAAATAACAACTAATTAGCAAAATACATTTATAAAATAGCATAATCGAGTGGCAGATCTAGAAACATAAGTACATAACTAACATGAGGCACAATATATATATTTAACATATAAATTCTTAATAGAAAGTTTTATATGAACATTTATTAAAAGACATGTAAATGAAACAAATTTATTTGATATGTTAATCAACCAATGGTTATAGTGTTTTAAATTAAAATAATTACTTTAAACAATAACAAAAAATTGTAAGAGAGGTTTATCAAAAAAAAAATGGTAAGAGAGGAAAAAGAGACTAATAATATGAAAAGCATTTACTATTTGAAAATAGTAAAAAGAGAAAGTAATAACCAGTTTGCTATAGAAATCAATAGAAGACATGGGGCACATCAGACCAATTGCTACATAAAACAATTGATGATCATGTAGCAACTAGCAACTTCACCCTTATTTAAATGACCAATAAAGTAATTTATTTGATTGCATTAACTCAATTCACTTTTTTAATTAGTTGTTGATTTGTACTTACCTTGAATTAACCTTGATCTTTATATTTAGCATTATCTATAACTCTCATTTTTTTTCTTTTTCAAGTAATACTACTAGTTTGCACAAACTAGTATTTGTATATTTATAACACAAATAATAGCACCCGAAAACTCTTTAGTGGAGCTGTGCACTGAAACCTGAGCCATTTGTCTCGTTCGCTCTTGTTGGTATCTGAAAGTTGCAACTTCAAAAGTAAAATTGACATTTTTTTAGATTTCACTGAAACCCAAAACGGAGAGTATTGACTTTATGTAGCCTTTTACAGAAATTACTTTACACACATGAAGAAGTAGTACGTGTCTATGTTATGCGTAGCTATACGAAGGCTTAAAATTTCCCAACACTACAATTTAACTAGTTTCAGTGAGGAAGCCCTTTCAATGATTGTTGTTGGAGTAATTCTTTAACTCACCCAAGATATTGGATAGTCTACAAAGTGGAGAAATTTGTAGGAAAAAAAAAGTGAGGTGTAGATGTAACATTGTATATTTGTATTCCTAAAAAAAAAGGAAACACGATAGGTGAAAATTTTTACCATAAAACATTTGATATTGACTCCAAACTTCGTTTTAAAGATTATAATCTTGAAAAATAGAAGGTTCAACCAAGTTTATCACCATTAATATACCATTAACATCGTTCTAGTTATCGTTTCATCCATTCAAACGATTTAGTTTGTAGTAAATTTTAATAAATTTGATTTAAGAAATGTCAAAATAATATGTTTAAACATCGAAGCGACAACATCTCATCTAAAATAACACTTCAAAACATATTTACACATTCGATATCAAGAACACGATCTCTAAAACAAATTTTGGAGGTGATGTGAAATGCTTTATAATATCTTTTTCATTTTTAGGTGTTTTTAACTTTAAATAAAAAATAAAGTCGTTAAATGAAATGATAAGACGATTGTGTTTTTTAACATCATTAGCTTTTCAAAATGTTTGAATTTATATTTCAAAATTTGTTGGTTTTTTTAAGGTAAAACTGCAATAGAGTTTTAAGATTTTCCTCCATAAGTCTAACCAACAAAATAATGGGAAGGTAAGCAGATGTTTATATTCCAATTTTTTGTGATATATACCACACTTTTTTCTACTACTGCAACCAAATTTAACATTACCCTTAATTTATTTAGTCTATATATTAATCAACACTGATGCAAAAGAAAGCTGTCAATTATATAACATAATTTGGTAAGATCGAAATAGAGGTATTCCACGAGATTTGAGTGATATGGACGTGATAATGTAAAAGCAAGATTTAGGGGGTAAGATTAGATGCGAGATTCGTTTAAAAAAAGACAAGTACGAATAAAGTAGAGGAGTACATGAAAACAAACAAAAAAAAGTGTATTAATTAATTAGGTTTAATTAAGGGAAGAGCATAGTGATGACAACATGGGAATTGGACCCTTTGGCTTTTTGCTTTCCATCTTCCAAGCCAGTAATGATGAATCGGTGAAAATATATATTGACAACGCATAAAGACTAACTAAAATATAGTTACATTTTTTTTTTTTTTGGTTATAATAATTATAGAGAGAAAAAAGTGACTTTGTCTCTATGTCATAATCTTCATAGAAAGCATTGCCAAATCTTATGGCCACATGGACGGTGTAAGCCTTTACCCTACTCGCTACTCTAATCTATTACCTTTGCATTTTCATCATTATTACATCTTATAGTATGTAACTTTTGTATCAATTGTCATCATTATGGGTTTGTTCATTTGTTCATAAAATAGGCTGAGCCTATTAATGCTCACGGATGAACATGACCCCTACTTTTATTTACCTTTCTTGTCTAGAAATTAGAATGCTTTGTGATGTTAAGTCACAACTAGTTATGACAATCAGTTGGTTCAACAGAGCTGGTCTCCAGAAGTTTGTTACTTACCGGCTTATGCTTCCCTTTGGGCTTTAGACTCGGATGATATCTTTGTTTTCTCCGTTTTGTATTTCACAAATGTAACATTCATAGTTCTAATAAAATTTCAGATGAAAAAAAAGTACTAGTTTATGTCATATATGTTTCTTTTCACAATACCACGGATTATATCACCAATTATCAAGTCTTTCTAAGATACCTTTTTGAAGCTTTTTCTAAAGTCTTAATACAATTGATTTTTAGGCTGTAATATTTTTGAAATAGAACAGAAATTTAATATAGTTAAAAATCTTTTCATGATAAAAAAAAGTATAAACAAAAAAAGAAACAGACCAAAAAATATTGTATTTGATGAAGAATGGAGAATATAGTAATATAGTGTATGTCACATGTTTCAGGAAATATCAACATACTACTAAACATAGTATTCCCTCCGGTTTTTCTTTATTTAATGTTTTAAGAGAAAATTTTTGTTTTAAAATAGATGACGGTTTCAACTCTAATACAAAATTAATTAGTTTTGATAATTTATATTATGCATATTATATTATTATAGGTTGAATCATGTTTAACTAGATAATAAATTATATTTAGTTTAAAAATAAACAAAAATTAATTAACTTTTTAATTAGTGTACAAAAACTTTAAACTTAAAAAAAAACGGAGGGAGTACATTAATATGCATGTAGTGCAAGTAATCGACTGTGTATTGTTTCCTAATCAAAGCATTACTAAGTACTTAACGGCGTTAATGGGAATATAGGATCGATGCTTGTACAACATTGTGGAATATGTTTATAATTAATACTTTTGTCAATATATAAAATGTTAATATTTTTGTTGTGCTTAATAATAAATATACATGGCCGGGTGATTATTATGAGAAAGTTCTAGTCTCTAAAAAGTTCGAAACTTATGGTACATCCTTAAAGTCTTTGCTTTGGCCATACCATTTTTATGATTGATAGTGATTTGCCATCGGCCGACGGCCTTATTGCTTTCGTTACAAACATTTCACGTCAAAAGAAGTCAACACACACACATATACACATAGAGAAACATCATTAGCTTTCCTTAATCAAAACATAAAACAAAAATATTAGAATACATTTGTAACGATCGTCATTATAGTATGCTTTTCAAGTGGATATATATTTTTTTGTTTTGAAAAGTCTAACTAAGAGCTTAATAAAACATTAGTTATATAAAAACCGAAGATGTCCCTTACGAAAATATAAAATTTGAATATATTGGCTGAAATTGAAATTCAGCATTTTCAGCCAAGCCTCATGCCTTATTACATTAATTTTAGAGTATCACTGTAATATTTACGCTTAACAATTGTTTAAACATTGATAAATCAAAGACAAATATACACAAAGCTGATGATAATTTCCCTAATATGTGGATTATGATGCTCATCGAACAAATCCAAGATTATTGATACATCTTAAGTGAGAATACTAGACCTTAGACAGAAAACTCAAAGTCCTACATAAAAGGCCCATGACTTCTTTATTCGGAATCAAAAGATCAATGCCTAAACACATTATAATTTGCAATGTGGGAGATATACTGAGATGTCAATATAAGACCATAAAATAGTTAAGACAAATATCTATCGTGTTTAACTAAATAAAAATATCTATATATACTCGATTAAATCGGTACATTTTTACAGAGTATTTTTTAAAACTTTTTTATAGATGGTAAAAAATTTGGTTCGCTAATGTGTATCGTGAAATCTAATATGATTATTTGAAGATAAGGATTTGTGACACCGCCATGCTCACACTATAGCGAAAGATGTCGCTGAAACAGAGTTCTACTACAGTGAGGAAGGACAATTACAACAGCAAACCAACATAATCAAGTAATAAGAGAAAAAAGCAATATAATTTTCAACTATCTTCTTTAAAAAATATATATATACTACAAATTTTAGGTTTTTCTTAAAGAAAAATAATTTATTTGGTAATCTGAAATTAAATTTTGGCTACTAATAGTAATTTTAAAATATATCGTAATTACTAAAATTTGGCACAACAATTGTTTTTTTTTTTACGGCATTTTTTCACAACAACTTGTTTCTTGATATTGTAGAATTATTGTAATTTAGCCATATTTATATTCATATAATTTTACCTTTGTTTTCTGTTATATTAAAATATATATTTTATTATTTTTGTTAACATATTAATATAAATCCTATCTTTTTAAAATACTAAAATAGTATCGATCTCATCTTTTTCTACCATCATCTTCCACCGTCCCCTTTGTCTCTCTCTCTCTCTGAAAAGGCAAAAAAAAAAAAACACAAAAAGATCGAATTCACCATCCTCGGTAAGTTTCCTCTCTCCCATTTCATAAAATATTTCGTATTTGTACTCTTCTTTTTCTCCATTGATGACGTATATCTTCTACTGTTACATATATCCCTCTGTTTCTTCTTTACCTGAAAAAAATGTCAAATTTCGAAAACCCTAATTAACGAATCTGGTTATGTATTAACTCTTACATTGCTTCCTAGAGTTCGATTTCGTTAAAAAGACATAAACCCATTAACAAAGTTGTGTTCTTTCGAGGATTGGTTCAGAATTTTGGAATGTTTCTTGAACAGAGATGGTTGATTAGATTCTACATTGATAAAAAAGGAATGATCTTTATGACCAAAAAAGTGTTCTTTTGTTTGTTTGCAGTGTTGTAGTTTGATTATGATGGATGAAGATGGATTGAGTAATCGTAATTGGGGTTATTACGAGCCGTCACAATTCAGACCAAATTTAGGGTTTCAACTAATTCCAAGTATCATAAACAGAAACGAGAAGCCATTTCTCTCCCCTCAGAATCAGAGTCTAAACAACTTCATAACCCCTTCCAATCTCTATCGAGGCGATAGCAGCAGCGTTATGTCGTATCCGCGGGATTATACTCTCTCTGATGCACCTTTCATGAGTTATAGTTGGTTGAACCAGCATAGAGATAGCAAGTTCTTCAGCAATGTACCTACGAATGATTCGATGAGTCTTCTTGTTCCTGAAACTTCTAGGATGACTCAACCGATGCAGCTTTTGCAGCCGGAGGTTGTGGGTGAGGTCGATGAGTCTCTGAAGAGAAGGCATTGTAGTGGTGGGCAGAGAGGTGCTCTTAAGGTGAAGAAAGAGAAGAAGCTGAAGGATAACAATATGCCGAGAGTGCAAAGAGCGAGAAGTCCGTTGTTGAGGAAGAGTGTAGAGATGGTGATCAATGGAGTTTCTATGGATATTGGAGGTTTACCAGTTCCGGTTTGCTCTTGTACCGGGATGCCTCAACAGTGTTACAGATGGGGCTGCGGGGGATGGCAGTCTGCGTGTTGTACCACTAATGTTTCGGTGTACCCTTTACCGATTAGTACTAAAAGGCGTGGTGCGAGGATTGCTGGAAGGAAAATGAGCCAAGGTGCTTTTAGGAAGGTTCTTGAGAAACTCTCTGCTGATGGTTTCGATTTCTCAAACCCTATCGATTTGAAGTCTCATTGGGCTAAACATGGAACCAATAAGTTTGTCACCATCAGATAAAAAAGTCGAACCTCTCTTTTGTCGAAAATCCCTTTTTGTTGTTGTTGTGGGGTTGTCCTATATTTTAGATATTGATTCAAATTTTGTGTATGTTCAGTGAAAGCTATGATCTGAACTCGGAATCAAACATCGGTATGTATCTCAAAATGTACCTCTTTTTGAATTTACTCGGATACAGGTAAAAATGTGTTATGTACAGAACCAAACAAAAATCAATCTTATACCAGATTGTTGTTATGTCACTAGAAGGTAATCAAATCTGGCATTGGGTAAGTGATGTAAACTGGTTGGTTCGTTACTATAAGAGGCAGATGATTTTGATGATATTCGTTGTCTCTTCTATCGAAACAACGATAGTCGTCTTCGAAAATCTCCCATTTGTCTGTGATGATCGTCTGCAGCTTCTTCGGTTGCTCCAACACTACAATAGCTTTTTCATCCTCTACTTCTTCTTTTTCTTTCTCTGGCTTCGGCTTCTCTTGGACGCTATTGATCATTTTCTCGATTGCTTCTACTTCCTCCTCGGGTATCCTAACGAATTGAGGGGTTTCTCGCGCGTTTGAGACACCAAAACTTTTACAGAATTCGAAATAGATGAGGAGATCTTCTCCCTGAGATGTCGCCTTGTGGACGATTTTCAAAACCGTTGCAGCCTCTGTTTTTCCAGCCAACGGAAGGATTTTCATAATCGAGCTGCAAATTCTACCGTAGATGTTGATACTTTCGATCACGAGACAATCCATAGCTTCTAAGATCAAAGTCTTCTTCATATTGTCAGCAATAGGCCGAATCTGAAGAATCATATCTAAGAGCGACTGGAGTTTTTGAATCCGTTCAAGCTCTTGGATCACAGAATCAAATTTCTCCAACGATCTTCTGTTGTTACAGCGGAGGCGGTTAATCTGATCGGACAAGTAGGAAGAGTAATGATGAAGAAAAGCAAAGTAAGTTCGAACAAAGATGTTGAATCCCCAAGTCTTGCTAAGACAAGAATGACCATCGGAGAAATCGGAAAGATCAAAAGGAAGACGACGAATCTCTCCAACTACGGAAGGTACTTTACAACAGAGAACACCATGAAGAAGCATTAAGGATTTAAGCGCAACGATCCAGCTACGCGTGTGGTTAACGCGAGAAGAGATTGCAAAGACAAGAGTCTTGAGATTAAGAGGAGAAGAACGGATCCATTTGTAGACACGGTGAGCGTTGGAATAGTCGACGGAAGAATCGTCGTGGGAGGTGGCTTTGATGATAGCTGCTTCGAGATCCGCGTTCCGGTAAGAGCTGTTTCGCCGTGAGAAACCAACGGCTAGTAAGCTTTTCCGGTCTTTGATTGCGGCGGCAGCTCGTTTCCACAGCTTCATCGTCAAGCCGCCTCCCTCCTATCTGTTATTGCTCTCTCTTCCTCTTTTTCTCTGTAAAACGTTTTCTTCTTCTACCTGGAGAATGAAAAGTCATCTCTTTGTCTCTATTTTGAGTTCTTCTTTCCTTTACCATCCGTTACTACCGTTGTAACCGCTCTGTTTTTCAAATTCTTTTTCATTTTTAAAAATATTTAAAATAAAAACTGGCTCGTGTGATCCTTTACACGTTTTGCTACATTCGTGCGCCTGAGTATCACACGTGTGGATTGATGGAAATATTGCAGCAATGGCTTTTCTTCCAAAATAGACAAACTTTTTCCATATCCAAAGTGAGACCAATAGGTGGTTATAGGTCCAATACTGTATCAAACCGGTTAATCGAACCAAATAGCATCCGGTTTCTAAATTTGAAAACCGAAAACAAACCAAAATTTGGATAGTACACCCTTTGCTTTCAATCTCTCCTTCTAAGAACGTTAAGGGTTTGTGTTTATAAATGTGCCTAATTTCAATTCGAAAGTTGAGAACTAGGCAGTATCTTTCTGTAGTCAAAACAACAAAACCCGAGCTTGGGACTTCTATATCGGTTACAAAACAATTGTTATGAGATCATTCTATAAGAGAGATGCAAAGAGCAACACTCATGCCAAGAATCAAAGATATCAAATGGCAGGCACTGTTTTTAAGTGTCGATTTTCCGGAGTTGTTCATTTCTGCAAGAACACCAGCAACAGCTATGTATATGAATCCTCCCGCTGTGAATCCCTGCAAGATTTCAACCACCAACCAAATATATACAATAGCATTTAGATGTGTTACTAGATCAAAGACAAGCAATGCAAATATGTTATTCACTACCTCGATCAACGATGATTGTCCTGGTTCATTTCCCCAGACCAAGACCTGTGGCAGATACAAAACATCACCTGAGTTAGTTCGGTTTTCAATATTCTAGAGATCTGTCAGGTTTTAAGATGTACAAGACTTACCAATGCAGTTCCTGCTAGTGCGGAGAGTGCAGAGAGGAAGTTGAAGAAGAGTGCTTTTGTTACTGTGAAGCCTGACCTCACTAGGATCCCAAAATCACCTATCTACAAGTAAGTTCCAATGGAATCGTTTAGGGGGTTTACTTGTTGCTATGCACATTTTCAATTTTCTTTAGGAAATAGAGTTGAGACCTCTTGAGGAAGCTCGTGGGCGAGTAAAAACATAGTTCTTGACCAACCACCAACTGATCCGTAGATGAGAAACGCACTTCCTAATGCCATTCCATCAGTAAAATTGTGCTGCGCAACAAAGGAGGAAATATAATCTCATCTTATCAGATGAAGCATCTCCTTTGCAGTCTTTGATCAGCCCGATCGAATCTATCTCTTTAATAATTGAAAAAGGAACACGTACTTACAACACCATCAGAGAACAAGTTGAGGTAACCAAAGACTAGGCTTGAAGAATGCTTCTCCACCTGTTCTGGTTTGTCCGATTTTCCATGAGAAGTAATTTCTGTTCCTGAATCTGATTTATCAGCAGCATCACCAGCAGAACTCTTTCTCTGCAAATAGATAAGTTTACTCAGGTAACCATAACAAGATGAATCGTACCTCTGGCTTCATGTAGAAGCTCAAAGAATAGATGTTTGCATAAAACAGAAGAAATAGAAACTCGTAGCTGAAAAGGTGCCAAATTAAGTATGCTAAACCTCTCAAGCAAGAGACTGATAAAACAGAACTTCTACCAAAACTAATGTGTTCCGTGTTTTTTTCCTCTGCTTGCTTCTTGAATTCAACTCAAACTCATCTTCTGCAGATAGAAATATTTACATTGAAGTGTGTTCTCACCTTACGGAGAGATCCATCTGTAGAGCCGCTAGAGACTTTCTCTGATGAATTTACAATTTCATCAGAAGAAGATTGTTTGTCCACGTTGTTATGATCGACTTCATCCTTCGGTTTCTTACTGCCTGCATGATGGTGGTGGTGATGATGACCCCAAGTATTGGACCCAGACGAGTTTTCTTCGACATACCGCACCAACTTCTCCACAAGAAGGAAGACCACAATCCCAGCTGGACAATTAAGAATGATGTTTGAAAGTGTCAATTCTGTCAAAACTATTTTGTTCACTAAACACAAGAGGAAGTGTTATGATACTTACCGAGAACAGATAATCCAACAGACAAATCTTGTATAGAATGTGAGTGTGAAGGCGAATCCGAATGAGAATGATCATGATGGTCATGGTTCTCATGGTGATCATTAGAGTGAGAGTGACCACCACCTGCCAAACCACAAAATTTTGCACTTCAAAAAATATCTCTTGGTCCGGAATTGAAATCCACAATCGCAAAAACAACAACAAAAAAAAGCAGGAGAATATACAAGGTGTCAATTCATGGAACAATGCAGATACAAAATAGAGATCAGATAATTGTGTCCATCACTGTACCAAAAGCATGGGGCAATTGGTGAAGAAAAGCATCCCCCAACATAGCTCCTGCCTGGTAAACAAAATAAACTTGAGTGAATCAAGACTATTCAAAGTACAGCAGATCATATAATATACACATTTCTAACTAAGCCAAGAGATAAACATGTGACGAAACGCAGTGTATAGAGATTCAGAACCACGAATCAAATATCCACGAATTCAGAACCACCATCACCAAAGAAAACAACTTTAGTAGAAAAAATAATGACTTACCCCAAACAAAGCCAACGAGTCAACGAAACCTTTTGATGGCTTCCCCTGAACTATAAAATGAAACATAACAAGTTACATCAAAAGAACTACTCTCATGAACACATGAATAAACGAACGAGAGCATTTTCTTCAGGACTATCAAACGAAGGTTTTTTTGGTTGCTTACCAAACATAATGGGAAGCAAAACCAGACAGATGAGTGAGGCTAAGCTAACCAAAAGAGAGCATCCCAATGCATTAAGCCACAGAGCTACAAAAAACAACAAGAAGAAGAGATTCTAATCACCACTAAAAAAGATGAATGATTTCTAAATTCACAACTCCTTCACTACTTTGTAAAACCCATTGAAGAATGTAGCTAAAGGAACGAAATTTACCAAACCCGGTAAGAGTAGAACTTGATTCGTGATCATGGTCATGATCATGATCATGAAGACAAGGCCCAAACCCACACAACCTCATATCTTCCTCCTCAGCAAGCTCCTCCGGCAGCTTCATCTCTACCTTCGCCGCCGTCTTCTTCTTCACATGATGATGATCGTGGTCGTGGTCGTGGTCATGAGAATGACTACACCCACCACTGTGATGATGCACGTGATCGTCACGCGCCGGCGTTGACTGAGAGAATCCGGATTCTACGCACAGATCCAGAAACAGTACCAAAACCAAAATCGGAACTACGAGTCTTCTCAGCGAGAGCGACATCTCTGAGTGAGCTAAGAAGAGCGACGGTTATTGCAAGTGCCTTCAATGGTGATGAAGCAGACGATGCAGAAGAAGAGAATGATAATTCCGATTATGATTCCGAAAGTGACAACATCCATTTTGGGGGAAAGTAATAAACCTTAGGAAATCTTTTTATAATTTGTAGTTTTGGCCCATTGTTTCGAAATTAATTAATTTTAGTTTAATATAATTAATTTAGATTATATTTAATTTGACTTAATGAACCTAATTTAGTTTAATTTTGTATAACTTTATTTAGTTAAGTTTAATTAGATTTAGTTTTGACTTTTGATTATATTTAATTTAACTTATTTAATCTAATTTAATTTATTTATTTTAAAAAAAAATTATATAGTTTGATCTATATGTTGTTCCTTTGCATGTTGTTGAATTTAGCGACCAATTGCAGCGGTTAATCACTAAATATTCTAGCAACTAAAAATTACGCTCGCTAGTCACTGTGATTGATTGCTAAACCAGCGACAGACAGACGAATAACGTTTGGTCGATGTCGTTGGTTTCTGTCGTCGGCGATATGCAAACGAACATGCTCTATGTAGAAAAAAAACCCATTTACTAGTATTAATCATATGTAAAAAATAGTACTCCACTGAATGTGATCACATGTTGCTTATTAGTACATTGAGATATATATTGGACCCTAAAAATGTGACTCATGATATTTTAATATGAACACATAGAGATATATATTGGACCCTAAAAATGTTACCCGTTAAATTTTATGCATCAAAGCTTCAATAGTCACACGAAGGAAACAGAGGATTCAACTCCTAAAATCAAGGTCTAATGTCCATTTTCCTTTGCATATTTCAACCCAAAACACAATCGCCACAAATCACACCACACCAACAAAAGAAAAGAAAAAAAACAAAATCAAGAAAATACAACACCAAAAAACACAAGAGAAAGAAAGAAGAAAGGTATAGAGTTTTACAATATCTTCTTTGGAATCTTTAGAGGAAGAAAGAAAAAATGGCAACAATGAAAATACCAATGACGGTACCTTCTCCTCGAGTCGATGCTGACCAACTCTTTAAGGCCTTCAAAGGTACGTACGTATTCGCTTCTTACGTAGTTTATAACAACTTGTTTTGTTACATTTTAAATCAATCTTTGTGCAAATTTGCAGGAAGAGGCTGCGATACTTCGGTGATCATCAACATCTTAGCTCATCGCAATGCAACGCAACGAGCTCTCATCGAACAAGAATACGAAACCAAATTCTCGGATGACCTTCGAAAACGTCTCCAATCCGAGCTTCATGGTCATCTCAAGGTAAAAAATCTGAGCCTTACAAAAATCTTTTATCCATGCATGATTTAGCAAACAAAGTTTTGAAAACGTTTTTTGATTTCAGAAAGCCGTTCTTTTGTGGATGCCTGAAGCAGTGGAGCGAGATGCTTCAATACTGAAACGTTCCTTAAGAGGAGCTGTGACTGATCATAAAGCGGTCGCTGAGATTATATGTACACGATCTGGCTCTCAGCTTCGTCAGATCAAACAGGTCTACTACAACACTTTCGGTGTGAAACTTGAAGAGGACATCGAATCCGAAGCTTCTGGAAATCATAAAAGAGTATGTTTTCTCTATTTGATCCATGCTTTTTGGTTCAAATAGTAGCAGAAATTGACATGTATATGTAATATATATAACAGGTTTTGCTCGCGTATTTGAACACTACACGATATGAAGGACCAGAGATCGATAATGCGAGTGTAGAGAACGATGCTAGGACTCTCAAGAGTGCGGTTGCGAGGAAGCATAAATCCGATGACCAGACGTTGATTCAGATATTCACAGACCGAAGCAGGACTCATTTGGTCGCTGTAAGATCTGCTTACCGTTCCATGTACGGCAAAGAACTTGGAAAGGTATAATCAAGAATCAGAAACTTGTTACTTAAGAATCAGAACATTTCCCAAATCTTGAACTTCTCTTTCTCCAATCTTGATAGGCCATAAGAGATGAAACTCGCGGGAACTTCGAGCACGTCCTTCTAACAATTCTACAATGTGCTGAAAACTCTTGTTTCTATTTCGCAAAGGTAACGTAAGCTGATCTTTCTTAAATAACAAGGCAAATTACAGGGTTTCGAGTTTGCAAAAATGAAAACTGAAAGTGCAGGCACTGAGGAAATCGATGAAAGGATTAGGAACAGATGACACGGCGTTGATAAGAATATTGGTGACGAGAGCAGAGGTGGATATGCAGTTCATCTTCACAGAATACCGCAAGAGATACAAGAAGACTTTGTACAACGCTGTTCATTCTGATACAACTGGTCATTACAGAACTTTTCTCGTCTCTCTTTTAGGACCCAACGTTTGATCTCTTTCTATATCCACCCCAACATTTACTTTGATTCTCTGTGTACATCTGTATCTTACAACATTCTTGCAAACAAGTTTGAAGGGATATGATATTTGTTTATATGTAAATCCAATATATCCAAAAGGGAGGCAACTAAAACTGGGAAAAACCAATATCAGATCAAACATATAGAAACAGAGACAATGTGCTTTGAAAACGAGAGGAATCACTCTCAAGTTGTTAACTACCTAATTCATCCGTAACTCGGGATAAATTTCTAATCAGATTCGACTTTGTGTATAGTTTGATAAGTTTTCCATTGAGGCAAGGATGAAAATAGCTCCTTGAGTAACTTACAAGTATATTCTTCCCAAGAGATAATCGCGAGAGATATACCAGTCAAGTCGAGTGAATCCTTTCGATCCTCATCAGAGCACGAATATCCAAAAATTGTGGTTACGAGGTTCTCATCTGGCATGAAAACTGATTTCAGGGCATTGATAGTTTCCAACTGAGAGTGGGACATAGCTTTCACCTTTTCTAAGGTGTCATTTTCGACATTAGAAGTTTCGAGTTCAGAAGCTTTCCAATGGTAGAACTGAACAACCTGTTATCCAGCAAATGGGAAAAAAATAAGCAGTTGATTATATATGATTCAAGAAAGGCAGTTTAACAAGACATTAACTAGAGCTGCGAGGCCCTGAAGACACTCATGTGAAGGTCTAAGTAACTGAAGAGCATGAAGAATGTTGGCATATTTTTGGGTGAGTAACTCTCTTCCTTTAGCTAATTGTAGTGGCCCCATGAGTTGTTCTGAGCCATCCATAGAATGATCCTCGCCTTGTAAGCTATAAACGTCGAAACCAAGTAGATGCAACCTCGCAACGCAAATATCAAAACCTATGTTTTGATTAGAAGCATCTTGATGAGGACAGAACCAGTACATGCTAGTGGATGCAGGCAAAGGGAGGCAAACTCCATGTGAGCATTGGGAAAGACGAGAAAGAAGCTTGGCATCTTCATCATGGGATGAGTCCCGGCTAAACCAGAGAGCAAGAGTCAATCTTTCTCCATCTGTTACCTGTAAGTTTCCATTAGTAACTTACATATACCAAGGATATACATACAAACTGAGAGGCAATATTCATTTCGCCAAACCTCATCAACCAAATGAATGTTCCGGTCATCAGCTGTGTACATGATAACATCCTGGTCAAGACACAAACTCATTATTCAATCTGAGTAGTAACCGTTGAGCCAACTGAAAAAGAACAACACTTACACCAGCAGAGGGAGCAACAGTTGCTGGTTCTCCACTCTGAAAACGAAAAAGCCCGCCTTTGAAATCTTTCCCGTAACTATTCAAGTAACAAACTGCCTTCAAACCAACTAAAAACCAAAGTCATACACACATAAACCTCATACTATCAAACAATAACGTCTCTAGATTGCAAAACCTAGTAAAACACGAACCGCGAAATCCCTTTGTTTTAGATATGATCTGTTATCATCACTATGCCACCCAATGCTAGCTCCTCTACACCAACTGATTCAAAACAAACGAACAAAAAGAATCAATCTTTACTCTTTGTTCCTTGCTTGTTTTGTTAGGAGACAATGGAGAGACAAAAACTGACTAACCTAATCAAACCTGTGAATTCAATAAAGAGCTCAAACTCACACCCAAATGTTTCCTCTATCTTCTCTTTCAACCTCTCTGTTACTCAACACAACAAAAATCATCACTTTGAATCTCACTTGTCATTGACAAATGTAAGAGATAAAAACAAAAGTGAAATCTTTGAGTTTTTTAAAGAATGACCTCTAATGGAGACGAAAGGGATTATGAGATGAGGAGAATTAGTGGCAATGAGGTGAGAGAGAGTGGTGGAGAAGACATTTGGTCTGTACCCAATTGTACTGCAACTCTTGTGTATGAACTCAAGTTCCTGTTTTTACCTCAAAATTAACCAAACCCACATGATTAGCCCAAATCTTAAGGAGAAAGACACAAAATTAAGCAAAAAAGGGACAACCTTGCACTCTGCCGGCGACAGGAAATTGTGTAGAATTAGCCGAGGGTGCTCTATCTCCGACATATCTCTCCGGTTCGTGTATGAATCCAATGAACCCGGATCGATTGTGGTTGTTTAGGGTTTCAGTTAATATACTTTCTTACTTGCGTTGTTAATCTTTTTTATTTTTGTCCTCGCTTGATGTTTGTTGGCATTTCTTTAAGATGACAAAACGGATTTTCAAAGAAGAGAAAATACATGTGTTAATCTTATTGCTTTAGAAAAAATGTGTTAAGAAAAACCTTATTTTTAAAAGTGTTCAGTAAATATCTATATTTTTCTTATGTTTTGGTTTTGCCATTTTTAAACTTCCATAAACTAGAAAATTTCACAACTACTAGTATCAATTAAAAAAAAAAAAGTATAATACCTTTGATGTTAATTCCACCAAATGGTCATATATAACTCATAACTCATAACACCGTTTTATATCCATTAGCGAATGATGACGTAGCATAAGAACTATATGAAGAGTATACTAAACTTCTAAAGTTTCAACTTTTGCCACCATGAAATCCTCCGCCAACCATCGATTTTTGTTCATTATTTACATATTTCCACACTATCACCATTCACCACATTTGCTTTTAAACAAAACCGAGTAGACAAGACAAGTGTTAAAAATCTCAATTTCCTACCGACTAGTCTTGTTGACTACTAAAATATCTCTTATCCTTCTAATCTCTAACTCTTTAACACATTTTGTTTAAAGAGCAAATTAAGAATTAAGACAATTATTGATTCACCGATACACCAAATCATTTTTTTTTTTTAACTTAAAGTACTCCTCTTGTCTCTATTTTGACTTTTGAGTGGTACTGATAGGTACAAAGAAACACAAACCCTAGATTTATCTTCATCTCTCTCAATTCTGTGTCAAAGCGAAGACAGATTCAACGATGTCTTCACCTGAATCACCTTCCGGTTCCGATTCATCCACACCACTTCTCCGTTCACGGCAATCATCACCACGTCGTCCACCTGTAATCGCGGTTCTATTAGGTCGAGCTTCAGGACGACGAGGAGCTTCGATGGTTGTTAGAGAGACAGCTGCTCAAGAGCTTGAAGAGCGACGAGCTGATTGGGGTTACTCAAAACCTGTTGTGGCTTTGGATATGCTTTGGAACACTGCTTTTGTTGTTGTTGCGATTGTGATGCTTTTGGTTTTTAAAGAAGAGAAGCCAAATGTTCCGGTTAGGGTTTGGATCTGTGGTTATGCGATTCAGTGTCTTGTTCATGTTGTGCTTGTTTGGCTTGAGTTTAGGAAGAGGAATGCTAGGACTCGAACTGGGGATTTAGAAGCTGCTCAAGGTTCTGGTAATCATGATAGTGAGGATGAGGATAACGATGAGAGGATTCTGAGGTTAGTTGAATGAGAATGTTTGATTGCTACTAATTTGTCTAAGTCTTAGCTAAATTTGGTTTCTTGAAGTTGTTTCAACTTAGCTTTGATTTGAGGGTTTGATTGCATTCTTGTTTCTCACAGTCTGTTGATCCTGAGGTTAGCTTTCGCTGCGGTTGAGTCACTTTATATAACCGGATTTCAAATTTGAACGAGTTAGAAAAGACCTTTCTTTGGTTCTTGATTTCTTTAAGTTGTGATTGAGGTTTTTACTTGCATTCTTGTTTCTATAAGTCTTAGTATCATTATGGTATCAATCTCTACAAAAATCGAAAAGGGCAGATCCAAATGCTTAACTTGTATCATCAATGATGGAACTCTAAATTTGTGTAATCGAGGAAGCTAGTGGGGAGAGAAAGGTTTCCATTATCTTAGATTCTATGAATTTTGTTTGTGCCTTTTTGGTGCTTTGTTCTTTAGCCAAAATGATTTACTAATGATTTTTGAGAATCAATTATTTCAGCACTAAGACTTGTGAATCGATGAACACTATAATATCATTTATCTGGTGGATTGTTGGCTTCTACTGGCTTGTATCTGGTGGTGATATCCTTCTGCAAAATGCGACGCATTTGTATTGGTATGGGTTGACGGGTTGGTTTACTCAATGTTTATTACTGAAAACTCTTACGTTTCCTCTTTTTTTTTTTTTTCTAGCTGAATGGTAATGCCATCATTATGTTTATTAATGTTTGCAGGTTAACCTTTGTTTTCCTTGCGTTTGATGTGTTTTTCGCCATCTTTTGCGTTGTGCTTGCTTGTCTTATTGGGATCGCCCTCTGTTGCTGCCTCCCTTGTATTATTGCTCTTCTTTACGCCGTCGCAGGGCAGGTATGGACTATAACAGTAACCCTTTTGGAAGAAATGAAAGCAATAAACTGCCTTTAATGTGTGTGTGTGTGTGTGTTCAGGAGGGTGCATCAGAAGCAGATCTCAGCATCCTTCCCAAATACAGGTTTCAGACGATAAACAATGATGAAAAGCAAAGTGACGGTGGTGGGAAAATGATACCTGTTGAGGCAGGCAGTGAGAATTTGGGAAAGGAACGTGTGCTTCTTCCCGAAGATGCTGTAAGTTGTTGTTTCGAAAGTTATCTTGTGGATGTTTTATATGAAACTTAGAGCTTTCTTGAATTGTGGTTTGTGTAGGATTGTTGTATATGTCTGAGTTCATATGAAGATGGAGCAGAGCTGGTCTCACTTCCTTGCAACCACCACTTTCATTCGACGTGCATCGTGAAATGGCTGAAAATGAATGCTACATGTCCACTGTGCAAGTTCAATATTCTCAAAGGTAATGAACAAGAATGAAGTAATATAGAGGAAGCTTTTCATCTTTTTATGTTGTGTTGTTTTTGTTGTATATAGAGAGAGTAGAGAAAAAAAGAAAATAATTGTATCGTTTATGTAAGTCATAAGACAAATTGTTTCCTTAGTTGAAATTTGTTGTCAATTCTCTTTGTTTTATCCAATAATAGATATTCATCTCGTAGCTAACCGTGCAGACAAAAATCAGTTTTCATCGCTTCAAAAAATATGCTCGACTAGGTGTTCGGGTATTCGGATCGGTTCGGTTCGGTTGACAACAAAAGAGAAAACATACATTATTTGGTTGTCCCTCAAAAAGAAAAACAAAGAGATCTCTCAACAAATTAGACATTGTACACGTATTTAGTTAATAACAACAAAACAAAAACAAAAAAGGACATATTACACGTTCCCTCCTCTCACGCGCAAAGCATCTCTTTGACTAATCACATCTTTTCTACACTAATCACATCACTAACCAAAATAATTAACCATCCACCTAAATTTTATATATATAATATTACCATTTACTAAAAAAACAACTAAAATCATAAAAAAACCAGGAAATAGATCAATTGTACTAATCACTATTATTTCCTAATTCAGACTATTAATTAATCTAATAATATTAGTACTTAAGTGCTTGATCAAGTGAACGTTGATTAATTAACAACTTAATCTAATCTTCTTTTTTTTTCCCTCTTCTTGTCTTGTCATTAGAGAAGAGGACTAGAGAGAAAGAAAGAGAAAACAACACTGTGACAGCATTTAAATCTCACTCTCTCTCTTGATTCCATCTCTAGAAACGAAAGATCTCTCTGAAACTATCTCTCTCTCTTTTGTGAGACTCTGATTTGAAATCCCAGTGAAAAGCATTTGGATCCCAAAGAACTCTCTAGAAATCTGCATTATTAAGCTACTTTTTTGTTTGCATCTGAGTGTATGTATAGATCCTGAGGAATTTGGATGTGTTGAGGGAGAGTAATTTAGATCGGAGACGGAGGAGATGTCGGATGTTTCGGCTGACGGTGGTTTTTTGTCGGCGGAGCAGGCTACGACGCCTGTTGCGATTCCGACGCCGTATCCGTCGTTGACGGTGTCGGCGTCTTATAAAGAAAGTGGTGGTGGTGGTGGAGGGAAAAGTTCGGGGAGGAGGAGACCGGTTAGGCCTAGTTTTGATGCAGCTGCTGATAATGAGTTTATTACTTTGCTTCATGGTTCGGATCCAGTGAAAGTTGAGCTTAATCGGCTTGAGAATGAAGTTAGAGGTGAGATAATGCTTGCTCGATCTAGTGGTTTTTGTGTTGATTCAGATCTGATTTTGTTTTTTTGACTTCGTTTTTTTTTCAATGGTTTTTAGATAAGGATCGAGAATTAAGTGAAGCACATGCTGAGATCAAAGCGTTGAGGTTATCTGAGAGGCAAAGAGAGAAAGCTTGTGAAGAGGTGTGTTTGGATTCTGATTTTTTTCCTATTTTCGGAGATTTTTTGTTTTCTTGGCTTATGGCAATGTTGTTAGAGAAGATTGAGAGTTTTGTTGACATCAATGGTTATATTATGTGTAGTTTCAAGTTCCTTTTTGTGCGCCTTGTAAGCTGACTTTTCTCTTATGTCTAGCTTACTGATGAGCTTGCTAAGTTGGATGGGAAGCTCAAGTTAACTGAGTCGCTTCTCCAAAGCAAAGTATGTACCAAAGTCTCCCTCCTTATGATTCAGTTGTTTTTTTCTTCATTTTTTGATGGAAATCTGATTATCAACTATGTTGCAGAATCTAGAAATTAAGAAGATCAATGAGGAAAAGAAGGCTTCCATGGCTGCTCAGTTTGCTGCTGAAGCTACCTTAAGAAGGGTCCATGCTGCTCAAAAGGATGATGATATGCCTCCGATTGAAGCCATTCTAGCTCCATTAGAAGCTGAACTTAAGCTAGCTCGCTCTGAGGTATTTTTTACGCTCATTATAAGTCCAAATTATATGGCTTTCTACTTGCGTATCGGATATTGATTATTTATGATGTTTCTGTGTAGATTGGGAAGCTTCAAGAAGATAACAGAGCCTTGGATCGTCTCACTAAATCAAAAGAAGCGGCCTTACTTGATGCTGAGAGGACTGTTGAAACTGCTCTGGCAAAAGCGGCTTTAGTTGATGATCTTCAAAATAAGAACCAAGAGTTGATGAAACAAATAGAAATCTGTCAGGTGCTGTACTCATTATCATCTTCTTTGTATCTAGTTAGTCAGGCTTTGGATGCCTTCTACTTATCACTCAGTGTTTGTTAACTATCTCTATTATCTGTTTGATGCTTTAGGAAGAAAACAAAATTCTAGACCGAATGCACAGGCAAAAGGTTGCTGAGGTGGAAAAGCTTACTCAGACTGTACGGGAGCTGGAAGAGGCCGTTCTTGCTGGCGGCGCTGCTGCAAATGCCGTGAGGGATTACCAGCGGAAGTTTCAAGAGATGAACGTAAGTAAATATATTATACCATGACCAAAATAAGAAGAATATAATCTTTTACTTAACTGATGAAGGCATATTTCTTGCTCTTCTTTCCAGGAAGAACGAAAAACTCTTGACCGGGAACTTGCACGTGCAAAGGTTACTGCAAACAGAGTTGCGACTGTGGTTGCAAATGAATGGAAAGATGGTAATGATAAAGTGATGCCTGTGAAGCAATGGCTTGAAGAAAGAAGGTTTCTACAGGTTCACTTTGATATGATTTTCCATCTCCTCAATTCTTGGAATCCAGATTCTTTGCAGTGACAAAGGCACACAACCTTACATTCTCAACTCTTAACTCTCTTCTTGCAGGGAGAAATGCAGCAACTCCGGGATAAGCTTGCCATATCAGATCGAGCTGCAAAATCTGAAGCTCAACTAAAAGTATTCATCTTATTTATGCGTTAGTCATCGTCGAATTTATGATCTTGTTTAACTAAACTAATTAGTAAACTATTTCTTTATACAATTTCTAGGACAAGTTTCAACTACGACTTAAAGTGCTTGAAGAGACACTGAGAGGCACCTCAAGCATCAGCATAAGGAGCACACCTGAGGGAAGAAGCATGAGTAATGGACCGTCTCGCAGGCAGTCAATTGGTGGATCAGATAATTTACAAAAGTTCGCATCAAATGGCTTTTTGTCAAAGAAAACTCCGATGAGAAATTCCTTTACTTCTAATTCTATCTCGGTATTGAAGAATGCTAAAGGAACATCCAAGTCATTTGATGGAGGCACAAGATCATTGGATAGAGGCAAAGCACTCTTAAACGGACCTGGGAATTATTCGTTCAACAAGGCTTGTGATGAAACCAAAGAACAAGAGTCACCTAATACCTGGAAAGAAGATTCAGAAGAGAAGCCACCAAGTGAACTTCCTGCACCAGCAACTGAAGACAATGTCCCAGGGGTTTTGTATGATTTACTACAGAAGGAAGTAGTAGCCTTGAGAAAATCTTCGCATGAGAAGGATCAAAGCCTCAAAGACAAGGATGATGCCATAGAGGTAAAAATTACTGAATGTGCCATATAAAATGTTGCTAAAAAGACGTGTTTGTAATGGAAGTTTTGATATTTTCTTATAGATGTTAGCAAAAAAGGTTGAAACTTTAACAAAGGCAATGGAGGTTGAAGCGAAGAAGATGAGAAGGGAAGTAGCTGCAATGGAGAAAGAGGTTGCTGCAATGCGTGTGGATAAAGATCAAGATAATAGAGCTAAAAGGTCTTCAAACACCAAACCCTCATCCAACACCGCCCATATTCTTGCTGCAAGGTATCTAACAATGTTATGTACCTCTTTGTCCCTTCCGGCGATCAAATTGCATTTTTGCAATCAGACTAAGCTTGGTCTTCTGAATTTCTGCAGAGCTGCTGGCCGAAGTGGGTTAACAAGGAGTACACAATGAGATGAGGGAGGAGCTGTGACTAGTTCTCTTGGTCGTATCAGTTTAAACAAGTAAAACCGTTATAGGCTGGTGTGATTTTTAAGCTCTTTTTTTTAACCTTTATATCTTTCTTATTTCACTTGCTTTCTTTACATCCTCTGTGATTTATTGTATTACCATAGAACTTAAGGATGAAAAAGATGAGTATGCTTTCTGACTTAGATCGGCTTACACTGCTTAGCGATGACGACAAGAAAAAAGGGAGGAGGGATGTTTGACATTTTGGCATAACATTTTCTGTCCTGTGGAAGTAGTTTGTTTGGCTGTATAGGTTTTAGCTTTGTATTGGAGTTTGTGTACTTTACTTGTTCGGTTTCTTCATTCTATTTACTTGAGGTGTTGTGTGATTATTCTACTTTTGGGTTTGTTGATATATGTCCAAACTCGGTGTCTTTTCTCTTTTGGTACATCAAAAATCAAATCCTGCATGGTCATGTAACAAGGAAGTATACTATAAAAGGATCTTCATACAGCAAAACCATTAACATTACATGAATACCTAAAGCGCACAACAATCACTAATTTACTATGTACACACCACACACTCTTCTAACTCTTGATATATCTCTTCTACATGTAGTAAGAGTTTGGAATGTGACATACACAAAACCACAAACCAAATGAAGAAGGAAAGAGAAAACAGTGGCTTTACAGATCCGAGTCTTGGCGGCTAGCCAAGCAGAGTTCATGTAATTCATTGAGTATCCATTCCTCACCAGTGTGACCACCAAGGACCAATACTCTAGTTCCTCCAACAACGCAAGTGCTATGTCCCCACGCTAACTTGGGTGGTTTCCCCGGGACATTCAGGATCCTCCATGACGGTTTCTCTTCTGCAGGATCTATAAGGAACAGTTGTGAAGGAGAGTGAAGCCCTGCAATAGAACCTCCAAAGATGATGACCCTACCACATGGCATGCTCACAGCTACATGGTCCAGTCTTGGAGGTGGTACAATTGCGCCTGTGAATGCGCTACACTCAAGCTCTCTCCATCTTGGTTCTTCATCCTCCAAGTCTATAGTGTATGCTTCCCCTGACCTTAACTTTAGATGACCGCTATTTGCAAGCCCGCCAAACATTAAGATTTTAGTCCGACCAAAGACCGATAGAGAATGCCCAAGTCTAGAAGGAGGAGCCCATGATGTTGGGATCTCTTTCCATGTCGGTTTATCTGTTGTCAGATCCAACAAGAAGGTGTCGCTGAGAAGCACTCCAGCGTCTGTGCAGCCACCTGAGACAACCAGTTTAGAGCCTTCAATGGTGCACGAGCTGTGCCAAGATCTTGGTAATGGAGGAGTTCCTCCGGCTACTTCCTTCCATGTGGGATGCTTAGCATCTAGATCAAGCACAAATACATCATTAAGCAATCCTTGTCTTCCACACCCTCCAAAGACTACCAACCACGACCCATTGAGACACGAGAGAGTGTGTCCCCAGCGTCCTGGAGGCGACGACGTCACTCTCACATGCTGCCACTCAGGATACTCTGCATCAAGATTGAGAACAAAAGTATCATCCAATGGCTGCATGTTAACCCCTTCCCCACCAAATAGCACAAGCCGGTTCCCAACAGCACACGCGCTGAAATTGCAGCGGGAAGGTTGTACAATCCCTCCAACAGTAAATTTGCGCCAACAGACAGCTTCAAGAGTGGTGAGCTCTCTAGCTAACCGACCCCATCCTAGCTTCTTAGTCATAATCTCCAGTGTTCCAGTTATCTCTTTTCCCCACGCATTCTGACACACCATCTTCCTCACGCTCTCGTTTTTCGTCAACTGCCTCAACCTCCTGCAGGCAGAACCAATGGAAGCAACGTCCCTTGGAGTTAACCGAGATAAGATGTTATGCGCCAAGACTTCATCAGACAGCTGCAATATCCCACAGAAATCTTCATGATGCTCCTTAAACCTCGGGCTTCCACCTGGAAGCAAGCACTCAGATGTCTGATCAAGCTGTTGTTTATGTTTGAACACAGGATATGAAACACGGTCAAGGTCTATAGTCGTTTCAGAGAAGACCTGTATCCCAATCACATGTGTAACCGTTCCATCATCGTCACGTATTGGAGCAAGCCGTAGTCTGTTAACCAACGGAGTACCGTCCTTTCTGAAATTGAGAAGCTCTCCTTGGAATTCAATACCTTCTTCAAGACATCTCCTTATCTCAGATACAACCACAGGATCAACCAATGGGTGACGCCTTTGAGCTCGAGGATCCCTATACTGTAAAAATCGACTGAAACAAAGAAAAACAAAGAGAGATTCTTATTATGTAAGTCCATGAAGATCAAAGAAGCTACGAAACAATGTATCTTCTTCAGTAATTTCTTCCTCCAACTAAAAATAAATGCTAAATTTCTTCATCAATCAAGCTAAAAGGACGCATTTCAAGCTGATTCAACCACAAATGCAGCATTATTCAAGAGAATTGATAACATAAACCAGAAAATTCATCGGAGAAAATTAATACCAGTTACGACCAAGAACTTCATCGGCACGATAACCAGTGATGACTTCGAAGACTCTATTGACATAGATCAAAGGAAAATCTGGTTCCAGAGCATCGGATACAATAAACGAAGGAGGAGTCACTGGGTAATAGACCATCCCCACTTCTAATGGAAGCTTCCCATCTTCTACTACATCTTGATTTTCGATTCCACCATAGATATCTCCGTCTTCTTGAACTCTGCCGCGTTTCTTTCTTTTTCCGGTGGCTCCTCCGATCGGTTCCGTCGCATGTTCTCTCGCCATTTTCGCTTTCAGAAAAATATCTTCTTCTTCTTCTGACTCGCTGCGCCTTATGATATTTTTCTTTTTCTTTTTCTTTTTCTTTTTGGGTCTGTTTTAACTTATTTAAAATATCTCTGCTTAGTTGGAGACTCATTGACCAAATTACCCTTTTAATTTTTATTAATCTACCGTGAAAAACGAGGAAACATCTCACGCCATGTTTGTGGCATATCTCGTAATTAAACGGATATACAGGGGTATTCATTACCGCCTTTTTGATGAGAACACGTCACCAGGGGATATACTCCAGAAATATCTAACCTACTCAACCACTCGGCTTCTTCCACGTCATCATATTTCTTTGCAAAGATATTTTATTTTAAAATGATTGAGCGAAGATATTTTTTTTTGTTTGTATGTGAAGTGGTAGAATCAGATTCACGTAACCGTTGACTTTGGTCAGAGTTTAGATATTTTGTTAAAATTCGATTGTTGCTTTTTATTTTTTTGCTAAAAAGTTAATATATGCGCCTTGCCAAAAAAAAATGGAAAAAACAAGGGACAATTACAATTTCATTATGAAGAGTACAGGAAATATATGATCCATCTAGATCCACAAGGCCATAAGGTGTCTGAAGTTTTTCCGATTCCTCTGGCTGTGATTGAGTTCTTAATTTGGCGGTCAATATCTCTAAAGATAATGAGCGGCGGTATGACGATTTGGTTATGAATGATGTTGTTTCTCCGTCTCCAGACACAATAAACCAGCGCTTGAATTAGAAGTATTCGCAAAGTCGAAATATATAAGTAGGCTGTAGCTTCACAAGATCTTTTGATATGACACTCGATTTTTGGACCTCCAGGTACCTTAAACGATATCAATATTCTTGATCGCTCACCAGTTTTTGATGATATATTACAAGGTTGAGCTTCAAAAGTGAATTACTTTGTCAACGGACACGAGTATCATTTGGCTTACTATCTCACATATGGTATTTACCGAAATGGGCAAACATTTATTCAATCTATTACAATTCCACAAGGTCCGAAAGCTTATTTATTTGCTACATATCAAGAAGCTATCCGTAAAGATGTCGAACATGCTTTTGGAGTCTTGCAAGATCTGTTTGCCATTGTTAAAAACCAGTTCTTATTTAGGTTAAAGTAAAAATAGTAAAGATTATGAGAGCATGTATCATACTGCACAATATGATAGTAGAAGACGAACGAGATGGGTACACTCATTTTGATGTACTGGAATTCGTATAGATAGAAGCAAACAAAACTTCACAAGTGGATTTCACCTATTCTACAGATATGCCTTCAAATCTCGGCAATATGATCGGCATTCGAAATCGAGTTCGTGATCTTTTTATTGTGAGAATGTTGTTGTGATGGAGTGCGTATTGTGTGTTTGAATTTGCATAGATGTGTTTTCGTGTGTTGTGTTGTGCTTTTACGACTATTGGTTCTCTTTTTTCTTGTGAGAATGTTGTTGTGGTAGAGTGTGTTTTGTGTGTTTGAATTTGCGTTTAGATGTGTGTTTGGATTGCGTTTAAGCATTTTGTGTTTGTCTTGTGTTTTGTTTGTTCTGTTTTTGGTATACCTCAAACCTCTATCCCGCACGTTAATCTAAGAAGAGCTCACGAGCTCCAAGAATAAAGTTATAAAAATGGGTCACTAGAGAAAGTTTTAATCCAACTCTTTTTAGTTCCTCTACAATGTTTGTGTCCTCCTGCAATTTTACCTATATATGGCACACTTAAACCTAATATTCTTGGAACATAACTCACTAAGAATTTCCTACTAGAGGATAGTAACATGTAATGTAATCATGAACAAAATAGCTTTGAAAGGTATGAAATACCAGAAGTGGTGAATACAATATTGAGCAAAAAAACTAGATCTAAACAGAGAGAACAAACACATACACGCACAATACCATTAACTGAGGAAACGAAACAAACTTATACACCTCCAAAATGAGTGTAAGGCTGAAAATTTGACAAGGCAACACACACAAACACAAAAACAAACTCACGTTTAAAATGATATTTAGAGAACACTGCAAAAGATTTTAAGATGCAACTCCAGTGATGACAAAAACAGTGAAAAGAAACACACAATGGTTTTCTTGATTTCGTTATGAAAGATGAACAAATTAACAACATGAACCACCAAAACCTTATTATAGAATCGTCTCACGATGATGAATAAGACAAGCAAATGCAAAAATCATTACAAAATTTCCTAAATCGTAAACATGATGGAGATACATCATCAAATCAGTTCTCTAAATCGCTAATTTTCTTTATTCGTTAAACTAAAGATGAAATGAGAAACTGAAGAAAGTGTTTATACCTGACTAATTACATAATCGGATGAGTTTCTGAAGCAACGATTTCAGATTCAATCATAAAACTTCGTTTTGGGGTCAAACATTTCCCTAATTACGATTCTCATCCATTAGATCCACCACCATGAGCGGTTTTCGCCGTCGGAGAAAGAAGAGATGTCGGGAGAATCTCAAATTGAACATTAACGGAATTGATATCGGAAAATTCAAAAAAGATGACCGTTCGTTAGAAGAACAATTCGATCTGGAAGGAGCCGTAAGAGAAGTTGTTTGAATTGGGGATGGATCCGAGAGAGAGAGAGAGAGAGCATCTCGATTTATACTGGTAGACGATTGAATTTGTAA